GGTATTTGTCAAATTTAGAATAACAAAAAAAATTTTAATTTTTTTTTAAAGTCAATCCTGCTCATTAGAGCAAAGGCATTTGAAATTCAACTAAAAGGGATTTTGATGCAAAACTGTCATGAAGATCCAAAACCCAAAAGCCAAGTATAAAGTTGTTCCTAAGTCCCAGATGGCTTTTCATTCTAAGAAAAAAAGTTCAGAACGAGTTAGAAATTGTTTTCATCTTTACTTTTGTCATGAAAACCAAGATTAATTTATACAGGGATTGGAACAATTGAAATTATGTAAAGAAAAGTGCTAAATTTTCTTTATATGTTTGCAAGTTATTTTATTCTAAATGGCACCCTCCTTTACATATGCATTTAATAACTGGTGGATCAAAGTTAATTGTTCTGCTTTTTTATTTTAGTAAAAACTTTTATCCTTGTCATAAATTAACATCTTACTGGATTGTGTGGCATAACCCTTCTTCCCTGTTGGATATCCACCCCAGAGAAAGCTACCTAAGTTGCAAGAATAATGCCTAGGAAAAAATAAATTAATTAATTAAAAAAAAAATAATGCCTAGGACGGAAAAAAAAAGCCAGAGGAGGGAAGGTGGAGGGAGGGAGCCTCTACAGAATTATCTTCTAAACCACAAATACCTTTCACATACATAACTGGGGAAGATAATCATATCTTGACAGATGCTAAATGGAAGGAAGGGTCAAATATGTCTCTATAAACACCTTTTAGATAGAAAACACTTTATTTTTAGTATTATCATCTGTGTTTTACAATTTTCAAAGCTTTTTCATACGTGGTATCAAATTCACCCTTTAAAAGAACCCTCTGAGGTAGTCACAGAGAGTGATAATTTTCCTAATTTTCAGATGAAGAAATGGAGAACTAGAAAGACAATTTATACAAAAACATAAACATTGTAAAAAAAACAAATTTGGAAAAATTTAGGAATTTTGAATCAATCTATTCATCAGTCATGATTCTAGATGAAGAATGCTACCCACCTCTTGCTAGAAAGGTAATAGACATTAGCAGAATGAAACATACAATATTACAATGACCAATATGGGAATTTGGCTTGCTTGATTATGATGATATCACCAGGGTTTTGTTTTTCTTTCCTTCTTTCAAGTGGTGTGGGAGGAGGTAAGAGAGAGAAAAGTTAAATGTTTGATAACTGAAAAATATTAATTAGAAAAAAATGACTCTCTGAGGCAGCCACAAGTATCTCCATTTTATAGATGAGTAAACTGGGCCTTTAGAGAAGCTCACTGGGTTATGAAAAGCCATACACACAAGTCTTCCATGTCTATATCTACTGTTCATTCCACTATCAACATGGAAGCACATGAGATCAAGCCCAGTTCTACCTATCAGTTCCACTGAACTATAACAATATGATTTGTTTCTAAAACATTGGCAGAAAACAAAGTCTCCATTTGCTACTCCCACTGGTGGTAGAATAAAATTTTCCAACCTAGAGGGCTTCTTTCAATGGTTTTCCATCCCTGTGGCCTCTGATTCTCTGGTTACAGAGAATGACATAGAATTTACAATCTGGTTAATTTGAAATTACCAAGAGGAAAAACTCGGTGCTTAACTCTTGTTTTTGCTTGCTAGTTACAAAGGCAACCAAAATAAGTTTTTGGAAGTATACCCAATTCCATGACTCAGATGGTGGCTGGCTTTTAGCATGTCAACATCTGGTCCACAATGGATTTATGTTTAAATATTTGGAACTTGGTATTAGGTTTAAAATTTCTACAAGACGCCAAATAAAATAATTTAAAGAACTAAATCAAAACTCATCATGACACCACCTCTGTAGTGGAGGAGAGGTAACCAAAGTCAAAAATTGAGCTGCTTCCTTCTCTGCTTCTGGAAGTCTAGGCTCCTACATCATTCACCTGCAATGTTCTTATTTTTAAAAAGTCTTTTGTTTTGACATTTGTTCTTAACATCTCAACAAACACTTAAGACTCTGAAAGGCATACATGTAATATGTAGATAGACAGATAGATAGATAGATAGATAGATAGATAGATAGATAGATAGATAGATAGATAGATAGATAGATTATAGATATTGATCTGTTACCACAAAAAGTTCTCTTATAACTCTTTTGGTAATATATATACAAATATTTTGGTATCTTATAAAGTCATCTAAATCTGCATTGTATACTGAAATCATCATACCAGCATTTTCATAATAAATCAATCAACAAGTATTTATTAAGTACCTACCATGGGCCAAGCATTGTGCTAGGCACTGGAAATATAAAGAAAAAAGAAAACAGCCCTTGCCCTCAAGGAACCTATAATCTATAAGAAAGAACCAGAGGCAGCTACGTGGCACAGTGGATACAGCACTGGCCCTGAAGTCAGGAGGACCTGAGTTCAAATCCAGCATCAGACCAAAACACTTAACACTTCCTAGCTGTGTGACCCTGGGCAAGTCACTTAACCCCAACTGCCTAAAAACTTAAAAAAAAAAAAAAGAAAGAACCAAGAACTAGGAACAACGACCTGGAAAGAAAGTAAGTAGTTCATTGATTAGGGAAGACTTGAAAATAAACTGTGGTATATGATTAGAACTGATTGGAGGGGGATGAGGCGGACATAAGAAATGAGAAGCATGAGAAATTCAGAAAAATATGGGAAGACATGTTTAAATGGTTGAATGAAATAAGGAGAATCAGAAAAATAAAATACATGATGTTTGTAATAATGTAATTGAAAAGAATATAAAAATGAAGCCAAAGTCTAACTGTAAAAAAATATGTGTATATGGTTCACAATTCATCTAGAGGAACAAAATTGGTCTAGAATCCTGCAGAAAACAGTGGAATAAAGTAGGAAGGAAGGGGGGCCTACAAGCACCAGATTTTAAACTATATTATAAAACAGTAATCAACAAAGCAATTTGCTACTGTGCAAGAATTAGAGAGGGTGATTAAGGGAAGAGATTAGGCATAAAATATATTGAAGCAAACAAGCACAGAAGCCTAACATTTGATAATCACAAAGATCCCAGCTATTGAGGGTAAGAACTCAATATATTTTTTAAAAATAGTAACAACTATTAGGAAAACTGGAAAGCAATCTGGCAGAAATTAGACCTATACCAACATGACACAGCATACCTCAAGATAAGCTCCAAATGGGTACATGATTTAGAAATAAAAGCTGACATCATAAACAAATTAGATGAGCAGTCTCTAGATAAGAGAAGTTCATGACCAAACAAGATAAAGAGGATCAAAGGAGTTCATTTTTTTAAATTACATTAAATTAAAATTTTTGCCTAAACAAAATCAATGGAGATAAAATCAGAAGTGAAGCAGCTAAAGTGGGGGGGGAAATCTTTGCAACAAGTTTCTTTAGTAATTTCTTCTTCCTAAAATACATAGGGAACTGATTTGAATCCCCAAGAATAAGAGCCATTCCACAATTGATAAATGATCAAAGAATATGAACAACCAGTCTTCAGAGGAAAAAATTCATGTAATCAAAAGCCATATGAAAAAGTGCTCTAAATAACTAATAATTAGAAATGCAATTTACATGGTCCCACCTCACATGCATCAGATTGACAAAGGCAATAAAATCAGAAACTGGCAAATGTTGGAGGAAATACAGAAAAAACACATACATAGATATATTCTTTGTGGATCTGTGAGTTGATAAAACCACGTTTTATTAAATGGTGCCTACTTTTAGATCCAGTGACACCAATATTAGTTCAATAACCCCCAATGATAAAAGAGAGAAGAAAAGGACAGAAATATTTAAAGAAGCTCTTTTTGCAGTGGCAAAGATTTGGAAACTAAAGAGATGCCTATCATTGTGAAATGATGAAGGAATGATGAAGAATGTTGCTTCAGAAGAATCTAGGAGGATTTATATAACCTGATGGAGAGTTGAAATGAACAGAACCAAGAGAAGAATATATATAGTGACAACACAGTAAAAAAAAAAAAAGACTTTATCCCTCTGATCAACCACGATTCCAGAGACAAAATATCCTCCCTATTTCCTGACAGAACGGTGACGCTATCTGATGCATGTTAGGGGGGAGGCATCACAGAGTTGTTTTAAGTTGCATTTCTAACTATTAGTGACTTAGAGCATTTTTTTAACATACCTTTTTCTTGCCTGAATTTCTTCCTCTGAAAACTGATTTTTCACATTCATTGACTGGGGAATGGCTCTGATTCTTATAAATTTAAATCAGTTCCCTCTACACCTTATCTGTTTTGCTTGACTATATGTATTTGTAATAGGGGTTTTGTTTTGTTTTGTTCTCACAGAGGGAATTAGGAGAAGGGAAATGGGTAGATAAAAAGGATAGAAGACAGATTTTCAATGACTGAAAAAAACAAAATTTAATTTTTTTAAATTTAATTACATTTTTAAAAGAAAAAATATGATTTTAAGAGAACCAATCATGAAACATACCTCCTTTATTTAGGAAGAGAAATAGGGCGCTATTTCAGAGGATTGTTGCCTATTCTATCGGATAAAGTCACTCTATTAGTTGTTTATGCTGAAAAGTTTTACTTTGTTCCAAGAGAGGTTTCAGTTCTAGAGGAGGAAAGTGGGAGGACACCTATACCCAGAAATAACTAACTTAAAAACAATTGGGAGCCATAGGACTTGCTAAAAAAAAAGTCAACAAGCACTTATTAAATACCAACAACTTGTTCCAGGCCCCATACTAAGCACTTGTAATAGAAAGCAATGCAACAACAGTCCCTGCCCTCAAGGAGCTGACATTCTAATGAGGGCAACAACATATAAATAGGTAGATACGAGACATATGAGGCATATGGGTGAAACTGAAGGTAATCCAGGCAGAAGAAGATGGAAAAAGTTAGAATAAGGAAATATATCACAACGAGGAGTCTCATCAGCAGGGCTTCTTCCAGCACTTTGGCAAAAGCTTTAGAGACTTAAAACAATTGTTGTAAGGTTTCTGTTACAAATAATGCTTACCTTTGAAAACTTCTGTAACTCAGCATCATCGACAATCTGTGTATCCAAAATGACAACCTGGAGAGTTTAGGAATTAAAAAAAATGTTAAACACTTTAGAGAACAAAACCAAACCACACACACCTATCTCTCACCCCAAGCTATCTGATCAAATACCCTGGGAAGCCGCCTCCATCTGACCTGGATAACTACCCCACACCTAGTCTAATCTCTCTGAAAGGGATCAATACATCCCAAATGCCAGAGACGATCGCAAAGAGAAATTGATGGCAAAAAGCAAATGTGTCCCAAAAGGGTGATTTCCATGTACCTTTTTTTTTTAAATGCCCACAGAATCTTGGAGCTAGGAGATACCTTAGAGATCCTTCAGTCCAGAGATTCTTACCTGGGGCCCCAAAACTTTTTAAAATAATGGTATTTCAATATATTTCCTTCATAAGACTACGTTATTTTATTTTATGCATTTAAAAACATGACTCTAAGAAAGAGTTCATGGGAATCACCAAATTAACTAAGAGGCCCAGGGGTCTAGGATGCAAAGAAAGTTTAGGACCCCTGTCTCGTACAACTCTCTCATTTTACAAATGAGGCAAAACAGGCCTAGAGAGGGAAGGTGATTTCCCTCAAGATCAGATAGCAAATTAGTAGCACAGCCAAGATACAGATGCCCTGTCTCCTGAACTGTATTCCCAGGCTTCTTCTGTCCCACAGTGTATCACTTGTTAAAGATTTCAAATTTGCTCAAAAGTTGAACAGAAGCAGGTAAATGTATGTGTGCGTGTATGTGTGTGTTTCAAGAATTACAGTATTACAAAATCTTTGAAATTACCCCCAAATTCACTAAACTGTGCACACCCCTTGACCCAGAGATACAACTGCTAGTTCCATAACCTACAGAGATCAAAGAGGAAAAGGACTTCTATATACAAAAGTATTTATAGCCACTTATACTAATATATCACACTTCAAGTTTTAAAAAGTGATTGACGAATATCTCATTTAATCCTCACAATTCTGGAAGGTGGGCACTATGAGGAAACTGAGGCAGAGAGAAGTTAAGTGACTTGTGCAGGATAATACTGTTAATAAATGTCTGAGGTCACATTTGAACTCAGGGCTTCCTGATTCCAGGGTCAGTGATCTCTCTCTACTGCTCCACCTATTGGGGGTTTTAGCAAAGACTCATATGAACAGATTCACAGTGAAGTGAGCAGAACTGGGAAGATAATGCACACAGTAACAAAACTTTGTAAAGAAAGAACTCTGAATGACAATCAGCCCTAATAATAACATTATAACATTGTAACTCTTCTGGATACAATAACCAGCCATAATTCCAAAGGCCAGATGATGAAACCCACTAGCCACCTCTTCTGATCAGAGGGGGGATGACCTCCAAGGTAGAAGGAGATACACATTTTCAGATGCAGCCAATGGAGGGCTCCTTTGTTCTGCTGACCAGGGAGAGTTGACACAAGGATTCATTTTTACTTTTCTCCACTTGAGGGTGAAGAAGAAGGGGCCGGGGAGAGGGTTGCCAAAATTGAAAAACAAAAATAAGAAAAGAGGGTCACTAAAGCACTTTTTTTAAAATGCAAAGAAATTAGGACAAAGGTCAGTAGGAAACCCAGACAAGCAGAAAAGTTTTGAAAAATAATAAGTGGATTTATTATATATTTTAAAAGAAAAAGAAATTCCTAATACAAATTTGTGGCTTCAAGAGCAATCCTCCATTTGGGCCCACTATATACACAGAAATGTTCATCTTATTGGGTGTTGCTTAAATTGGGGGCAGGTGGAGCACTAAATGAGAAAACAAGCCTGCAGGTCCTGAGAGACTCCTGAAAACAAGAGTCCCCAAAATCTGAGAGGCTGGAGAAACCTCAAAGCCTTAGGCTCTGAGCCAGAAGAGACCTCAGAAGCCAGACTATCCAGCTCCCTCATTTTACAGACAAGGAAACTGAGGCCCAGGTTGGTGAAATGGGAGTGATTCCCTTTGTAACATCCCTGGCAAGTGACCATCCAGCCTTGGCCCAGAAGACCTCTTGAAAAGCAGAACGCACTTCTCCCCAAAGCAGCCCATTCATTCATGTGCATGTGGTCTTCCTGTTAGACTGTGAGTTCCAGGACTACCTTTTGCCTCTTTCTGAATCCCCAGCACTTAGCACAGTGCCTGGCACATAGAAGGGGCTTAATGTTTACTGACTGGTTGATGGACTGCCTTCTGGCCAGTTCTCCTTGCTAAGAAGTTTTTCTTGACATCAGGCCTAACTAAGGCCTAGAGAAAAGAATTGGAAGTATTTGGAGTCACAGGCATTGAGGCATTGGATTGGAGACTTAGAATTGGAAGGGGCCTTTGAGGTCAGCTAGTAGCAGACCCAAGACTCAAACCCTAACTTCACAAACATTCACATAAATTCCACCCTTTTCTCTAAGAATTAGGGTAAGTAAGGAAAACACCTGGACTCAAAAGCCTGTTTAGTCCCTATCTGTCCCTTCCTAGCTCTGGGACCAAAAGCAATTCCCTTAATCTCTCTTGTCCCCTTGCTATTAAAAATACAAACGTAATCAGATTTTGTTTTGAACTGAGTCAAACAGCAACAGACGTACCCTTGGTTGAGCAAGGCTAAGATGGGGACTCAGAAGGCGATAGAAACTCCATGACCTTTGGCTCAAGGATGCTATAGCAGGAACCCCTGGCAGGTGGAGAACCATATCTGGTGGCCTCACCTCAGCCCGACAGATGGAGCTTCCGGTTTTAACTGACTGTTTTTGTGACCTAGTCTCTAAACTAAGGGTGGGGAACCTGTGGCCTCTAGACCACACGTGGCCCTCTAGGCCCTCAAGTGCAGCCCTTTAATCGAATCCAAACAATTCAGGGGCCACACTTGAGGACCTAGAAAGCCACATGTGACCTCAAGGCCCCACCCCTGCCCTAAACTCTGCTGTTTCTACCCCCTGAAGAAGCTGCAACTATTGTCAGCACCCTCCAAAACTGACACTCTAGGATAAATCACTAGTCACTTACCCTGGTTACAGCTCTGTTTAAATAAGTGGCTACTAGACTTCTAGTTCTGACATCCTCTGACACTGACACCAGTGGTCCATGGGTAAGAATGTTAGACCTGGAATCAGGAGACCTGAGTTCAAATCCAGCCTCAGATACTGACAAGCTATATGTTGTTGAGCAAGTCACTTAACCTTTGTGTGCCTCAGTTTCCTAAACTACAAAATGGGGATAATAATAGCACCTACCTCCCAGGGTTGTTGTGAGGATCCACTAAGATAATATATGTACGACACTTTATATGCTTTACAGCATCACATAAAAGCTAGCTTTTAAAAATAACATAACAGGGGCAGCTAGGTGGCATGGTGGATAGAGCACTGGCCCTGAAGTCAGGAGGACCTGAGTTCTAATCTGGCCTCAGACCAAACACCTGACACTTACTAGCTGTGTGATCCTGGGCAAGTCACTTAACCCCAATTGCCTTTAAAAAAAATAATTGTAACAACAAAAACAGTGCCTACATGGTGCCACAGGGCACAGAGTGCTGAGCCTGGAGTCAGGAGAACCTGAGTTCAAATCCAGCCCCAGATACTTAATAGCTACGTGACCGTGGGCCTCAACTTCTGCCTGCCTCCGCTTCTTCAACTGTAAAATGAGGCTAACAGCACCTACCACCCAGGGTTGTCATGAAGATCGAATCAGACAGCAACTGTAAAGTGTTTAGCACAGTATGCGCACATAGTAGGTGCTATATAAATGGCATTTATCTTCATCATCATTACACAGTCTAACAGAAGTCTATTAGCACAAGAGATCGTAATTATCCTATATTCTAACAAAATATCATTATGTCAATGTCACAACGTAACATATTAATGTTACAATAGTATAACATCACTGTATCTGCTAACATTCTACCACTATCAGCTTAAGTGCAAACATATGAAAGGAAAAATCAGTAAAGGTTTAAGGGGAATTTTTTTTCATCACAAAAAGCTATTGTAAGCCAAGCTCAAGCCTTTTCTAAATGTCAAACTTTCTTCCATCAGGAAGATTCTCCAAAAAATCCTTTCTGTGACTGTAATAACAGGTGAAAGGAATTCCAACCTAACTTAAATGACTCCCTTCCCCCCCCAGTCGCTGACCTGTTCCATCATCATTCCTCCACTCTTTTCAGAAAAGTCTAAGATCCTGCATGAAACACAGGCCTAATGTCCCAAGCTGCGCTGGCGGCCAATAAAACAAACAAATCGCAAACACAATCATCAAAATGCCAGCCGCTCTAAGTAGCTGACGAATGTGGCAAATTTAAAGGCAAGCACTCCCTCCCCCGCCACTCCCCCCCAGTTCTGCCGACTGTGCCTTCAACTGTTCCAACATGAAGTGAACCACTGGGACTCGCAGTGGCACTTCTTTTTTCATCCCTAACTGTTCTCACATCTCAAACCACTGTGATTTTCCCAATCCGTTATTTCCAACACAAGGAAGGGGGTGGGAGGGGGGAGGGAAGCCATTCCCAGAAGTGCTTGTTTCTCCTAATTACTACGTTACAAGCCTCACATTAAGCCAGACATGAGTACATTTTATGGAAGCATAATAACATACCATTACTTCATAATCGGGGCCCAACAGGTTTTCCCACTTGGATTTCAGCTTATTTTCCAGGGAGCCAGGAACTGTATCTAGACATAAAAAATATGGAGCTGAGAACAGAAAACATCAGCATTTTTCAGTAAAAACAGAGACTAAAGAGAAACAGAAGTAGAAAAATGGAGGCCAAATCAAGTGGGCAGCTGAAGTCAGAGGTGAATCTGAGGAATGAGGTCAAAGAGAGCTCCAACAAAGGAGGATTCTCTTCCCAGGCCACCTGCCACTCCCATTTCTGGCTGAGTGAGAGCCGTCGAGGGAATCTGGAGGGACAGCCTGGGTTCGAGACACATCTTGGCTGTGTGACCCTGGTCTAGTCCACCAACTATGCAGCACCCTGGCAACTCCATAAGACAATGAGTTGTGGAAACAGGGCTTGCCTACATTGGTTTGGGGAGTTTTCTCATCTCTTTGGTGGAGGGTCTTAAAGGAGAAATGAGGATTTACAAACGAGAACTAGAAACCAAACTTCTGGTTAGAACTAAAAGCCGTGCTGGCCACCTCCCTCCTCCACTTCTTCTTCCTCACCGCTGCCTCTTAGAATGTGTAGCTTTCTTCAAGGTTCCACCCAGGGGCCCCCTTCCTCAATTCCTTAATTACTTTGTCTCTCCCTCCTCTCCAATCATTATCGGAGCCCACCCTGCCCAACACCCACCGCCAGCAACAGGAGGTACCAGCTAAATTGCCAACTTGGAGTCAAAAACACACAGAAATTAAAGTCCTCCCTCTAATAACTGGCTGTGTGACCCTGGACAAGTCTCTAACCCTTTCAGTACTCTAGCAAGGCATCGATAAAATGGGCTAAAATTTACAGATGTCTCGCTGATTTGCATCAACGGAGGAACCTTTCTACATGAGGAGGTCCTCACACAGGTGAAATCAATCACTGGTCTGAACTTCCTTTCTCCTTTGAGCCCCCAGAATGTAATCTCTCTTAGAATAGAAGCTCTTTGAGGACAGAGACAACTCCATTTTTGTCTTTGGCACCATAGTGGTTACTTAACAAAAGACTGGTAGATTGTATTGCCTTAAATATTAATCACTTCACAATTATGGGATCACAGAGTTAGAGATGGAAAGGACCTTGTACATAACCTAAGCCCAACTCCCTCAAAGAACAGAGAATGAAGCTGAGAACCAGAGAGATTAAAAGCTAGCTATGAAGATCATTGATTGGATGGAATCCCATGTCTACCCACTCCCTCCCAACCTGTAAGTCCCCACCCATTAGAATGTAAACAGTCTGAGAGTAAGGACCTTTGCTTTCTTATCCTCTGTATCCCCAGGGCTTAGCACCACAGAAGATACTTAGCCAAAGATTATTGGATTGGATTACTCTAAATGTTAACCACTTAAGTCACATAATCAGATTCAGAGCTGGAAGGGAATTGAAAGGCATCCAACTCCCTCATTGTACAGATGAGGAAACTGAGGCAGGAAATGTTGAAGTGACTTGCCCAGGGTCACAAAGCTCATAAGGATCTGAAGTGGGATTTGAACCCAGGTCTTCCTGACTCCAAGTTGCATACTCTAACCAATGCCAAACCTAGCCACCTCAGGCTATTTCTTCCACTCTGCTGGAGGACCCTGCCCTTACTGGGAAATCTCTGTTCTCATGAGCATGCAGCCATATGAGCTGAGACTCAGTCTTCTTTCCACACTTGGCAGGGATTGAGGCTTGTCTGGCTTAATGAGGGCTGTCAGTAACATGAGCTCCTGGAGGTCTGGTTCCGGGCCAGTCTTTGTAGGGAGTACAGCTACCCTGACCTGTCTATCTTTTCAACCGTCACCCCGCAAAGTGAGATGATCACATTATGTCATCCAGCCTACCCTCTGGATGACCTCACTCCCAGCACAGCCCAAGTATCAAAGTCTCCAGCCTGAGCCACACTAAACAGGTAAGAGCCTAATGCCCCCAGTTCCCTGGACAGAGCTCTCAAAAACAAACTCTGCTCCCTTTTAAAAAAACAAGAAACACAAAAGCCTCCACAGTTTGTCACAAGCCTGGATAAGTCAGAGAAAGATTATCACAGCCAACATGAGCCAGCTGGCTGCAGATCTGAGTGTGGCCTTCCACACTCCCAGGCTCTTTGGTCCTCAAGCAGAGATGCCTACGATACTCCATTAGGGGCTGCACCTTCATCATCCCAGAATGAAGCTTAGGAATCCTGAAAAGATGCTGCACTGTAAATCTGACAACAAGAGTTATGTCTCCTAAGGTGAGTTAGATGGAGGCATTCCAATAACCTGAGTTCTTGCAAGAGCGCCATTCCACAAAGTAACCTCTCCAAGGGGAAGTGACATCACAGGGTCATAGATTTAGAGATGGGATGGCTCTTGGAGGCCCATGAATCTAAGCTCTTCATCTCACAGACAACACAAGAGGCAAGTGATTATCTAGGTCAGTTCTTCTTAGCGCCATGTCCAGCATGCTATCCACTATACCATCTACCTTTGGTGTCTCATGGAGTCAGGGAGAGGACAGACCCTTGGTTCTCAAAGGGCTGTGCAGGTAGAGTAATATGTTCAGATAAGGCCTGCTAAGCTGAAAAGCTTATGAACAGAATGTAAGCTCCTTGAGGGCAGGAACTATTATATTTGTATGTTGAGGGCCCAGGACAATGGCTGACTCCTGACGGCCACTTAATTAATGCTTGTAGGTTGACTGAGTACAGACCCAGCAGTGGAAGAACGTCCTTCATTCACGCATCAGCCTAAGAGGGTTCAGACAGACTCTCTGCCAGAAGAATGGCTGTATTTTTTTATCCACAGCAACTCAGAGAGTACCTATAATAGACAGTCCAACTGCACTGGCGCCAAGAGTAGCCACACCCAACAACACCATGGATCCTTGAAATATGAAAGAACTATTCCAGAATCCTATTAAGACCCTTTGACAACAATCTTCAAATTCAGTGGTATCACGGTAACTTGGTGATACGGTAATCTTCTTTTGCCAGTCTACATTTTTAAGATGAGGTTAACTTTCTATTTGTTTTATTCAAGGTTATATACTATTTTAGCCGGTGTCAGGAGGAGAAATACTTCTGACCTCTGAATATTCTGGGGTCCAATCTCAAGCCTACCACTCACACTGACCACATGTCATTAAGTAAATCGCTTTCATTCTATCTCATCATCTATAAAACGGGGATGACAATCACTTCCTTGCCTACATCACAGGATTCTTGTGAGGACCAGATCAGATTACAAGGTACTAGAACGTAAACATGGCAGGACACCACACATCTTTATCCTCCATTTGGGCAATGTGTCAGCTCCTTGAAGCAGATATCCTTCCAACAGTGGAGATGGAAACTTCCCACGCTGTTTTTTGTCCACTGTCTACTCCTTAAAGAATAGACTCAACAAATGAAGAGGCCTTCCTTCGGTTCTTTGAATAATTTATCCCTCCTTGGGGCAGAGGTGGAGGACAAAAGAGGCAAAATGCAGCATATATCATCAGAAGTAGTGGCGACATTAGTGGATTTTGTTGAACTGTAATTTTTGTTGGGCAGTTACGTGGTGCTACAGTGGATACAGTGCCTAGACTGGAGTCTTCTTGACTTCAAATATGGCCTCAGACACTTATAAGCTGTGTGACCCTGGGGAAGTCACTCAACCCTGTTTGCTTCAGTTTCCTCTTCTGAAAAATAAGCCAGAGAAGAAAACAGCCAACCACTCCAATATCTTTGCCAAGAAAACACCAAATAGGATCACAAAGAGTAGGACGTGACTAAACAACGTTTCACTGAATTTCAATTGATTTTGTTAAACATTTCCCAATCACATTTTAAGGAAGTGTTGTACCTGCTCTAAGGGACTGCAAAAACTAGTAACAATATGCCAAAGATGAGCTGAATAATAACAGCTAGCATGTACAGTCCTTAAATATTTACAAAGAGCTCTACAAATACGATCTCATTTGGTCTTCACAATAACCCTGGGAGGTAGGTGCTATTACTATCTGCCATTTTACAGTTGGGGAAACTGAGACAGGCAGAAGTCAAAAGACTACCCAGGGTCACACAGCTAGGAAGTACCTGAAGCCATTTCTCTGGACTCCAGATCCAGCAATATCTCTCTACCTGAATTTGCAATAAAGAGTTTTCTTAAAAATTGCCAATTGCACTCAATCCTCCCTTCTCCTGCCCTCAAGCTCCTACCCCATTGGCACATTTCAATGTTCAGCTATTACACAGGGTATCCCAAACGTCTTAATGCTATTTGTAACTTAAAACGACACTAAGACTTTTGGGACAGCCTATCTAACAGAGATTACAATAACCATGCCATGAATTGCCCCAAAAGTGACATGATCTAACCTGGGGCCCTGGGCACAGGCTGAAGAGGGAAAAGATTGTTCCAAATCTTTTACCAGCTTATTGATATTGGACTCACTGGGGATTCAAAGAGGCAGAGGGAAAGAGAGAGTACATTCCAGGCAATGAGGGCCAAGAAAGAGGCAAAGCTGGGAGTCAAGCTTACATCTGTCTCCTAACTTCCAGTCTGGGGGCTTTGTCCACTATACCCTTAATCCTCCTCATGTGATAACCAGAATTTACAAGCGACAAGATCCAGGAGGCAGATGGTAAAGATGAATTCAACAGAAACTACAAGACAGGAGCTGTCCTTTCTCACCCTCAGTTTCGCTCCCCTACTTCCTCCAATCTCTTCCCTACTGGGAATGGAAAACTTAATTCTCAGACTGATGTAAAACACTATCCTTAATAAAGCTCCTCTCAAAGAAATCTCTGCTAATGCAAGGACAGTAGCTATGCATCTGTGATTCAGAGTTGCCCTACCTTTGGTCCAGAACCAATGCTAATAAAGGAAGATCGTTGGGAAGCCAAAAACCAGCATAATGAAGCTGAGCAGATGAGTCTTAAGCAGACATGGGGGAAGAGGTGAACAAAGAAAGTAATTCAACAGACTAGAACTGAGATCCTTGAGGACAAAACTCCTTTCATTCTTGTCTTTGTAATTCCCAGTCCAGGTGCTCAGTGCCTTACAACAAACAAATGTTGAAGCTAATTGATTTGAAGGTAGTTAGGAAATACAGTACAGGGAGTCAAGAAGACCTGAGCTCATCCAGTCTCAAACCTGTACTATCTAGACAACCTTGGGCAAGTCACTTAACCTCTGTCTGCCTCAGTCTCCTCCACTGTAAAATGGGAATAATAATAGCACCTACCTTATGGGGTCATAGTGAGGATCCAATTAGGCAATATTTGTGAAAGCACTTAGCACATTGCCTGGAACACAGTAGGCACTTAATAAATGTGGATTGCCTTATTCTCTTATCTCACAGAAGCTTCCGAGCTCCAAGGACAGATTTAACATGGTGCCATGACAGAGAGCTATCCTTGGAGTCAAGGGACCTTGGCTTGAATTGTTGATCTTCCATTTGCTACTTGTGTCAATAAGTCAGTCAATGAACATTTATTAAACACCTGCTATGTTCTAGGGACTGTGCGAAACACTAGGGACACAAATTTTTTAAAATACCCATCTCTACCTTCAAGGAGCTTACAGTCTAATGGGAGAAAATAAAATAAAAATTATAATTTGCAGGAAAAAAAATCAGCAAACTACCAAAAAAACCCAATCTCATGGAAGAACACTCAAAAGGAAGTAAAAGGTGAGGGAGGGTGAGTTACCCAACATGGGGGCGTGGTCAGAGAAGTCCCAGAGTAGTGCAGTGAGGTGAGAAATGAGACATCTGAGCTGAGCCCCACCCTTATTCAGAGGTTTTAGAGTCCCTGGCTCCACCCTCCAATCAGAAGGGAGAGATGAGGTAGAGAACCATGACTAGATGGATCTCCCGGGATGATGACGTTTTCCCGATAATGAGTTTTCATGGCGTCATTTGTGTGACCATGGACAAGTTACTGAACCTCTCCAGGCCGCAGTTTATGAAAAACAATTTTGGACAAACTGGTCTGTAAAACCCTCTCCGACTCTAAATCCAGGAGGCTAACATACTTGGGCACCAACAATATCCCCCAACAGATGAACAAAAGCTCACCGCATAGACATGGCCCAAAGGCTTAACCATCAAACATCATAGGGGAGATGCAGTTTCCTGCCATCTTTCAGGGCCCCTTCCAGCTGCCAATCTGTGACTCTTTGATGTTAAGAGGGTAAAAATGAAACCATGGTTAAGTGCTCACCGCTGTGGGTAATGTTTTGTTAGGACAGGAGACTCCAGATTCCCATCTGTCACTCCCCTGACATTTCAGTTCAAGTCAACATTAAATGCCTACTATGCACCTAGCCCAAGATTGAAAATCCATGGCATCCCTTCAAAATGGAGCAAAATTTTAAAAAAAAGGCCACAAAACCCTGAATTTTAAAGCAGAGCCATGGGCTGGATTCTCTAAGAAATGTGAGAAGTGCAACTATTCTGACCTATTCTTACAATGTGTGAACACAGATCTACCTGGGAAAACCACAAAGCCAATGGAATTAGACATTCATATCTCTAAAAGCATTAAGTTCGGTATTTCTGAGAAATACAAGTCAAAGCCAGTCACACTTTTACAGTAAATACAAAAGGTAGAAACCTCCTTAAAGACCAGCATTTCCCAACCTAATTAGGACAAAGAGTACTTATAGAATTGGAATATATTGATAGAAAGGAGATAGATTGGTTAAGAATCTCAGGATCAAAAGAGACTGGCAATTTTAGATGGAAAAAAAAGAATATTAACTAAAATTCATCCTGTCAAATCTCCCCTGTATAAGCATTTGGTAAATCCCTAATTTCATATTTAATATTTTTACCCCAGACCTGTGATTTCTTCCATGTTGGGAATGCCTGGTATAAAAACTCCCTCAATTGCTATAGACCGTAAATTAATTTATAACTTAATCTTAGGAGAGTTGCTAGAGGTGATCAGAGGGGAAGTGACTTGCCCAGGGTCATTCAAAGACCCAATAGGTGTCTAAAACTGGGCTTGAACTCAAATCTTCCTGATCTAAGGCCAGTCTTCTAGTCACTACAACAAGCTGCTTCTCACTGTGTATTTCCAAGGTGGAGGAGACAGTAGCAAAAAACCCCACAAATCTCAATTTCCTTCATGTGATCCCTATTTGCTTCATGTGGAACATAAAGACTGTCAAAGGCCTAAGGAGGCACTGGTGGAAAGGTGTGTAAAGACTCCCACATCATCATCAGGAATCACATGGCAGCTTCTTCGGCTTGTTAGGGATTCCTGCCACTGGTGACCGAATGAGGGCAGTGACTGACCAACACGTAGAACACAGATGTCCTGACAGGGTTCAGGGACAGTGCACTGGCTGGTAGAATGTCCAGCCTTTCACGCATCTGTCTTAAAGACTCTATCCTTCATTTATACTCCCCACTAATCAAAAAACAAAGTGAAATTATAATGGGAGGAAAACATATAGATCAACATATAGAATTGGAAGGGACCTCAGAGGCCATGATACATACAGGAAAGGTTAAGAACCCCATCGTCTATTAAGTTTTCAGATTATACAGAAAAGAAAACAGGCACAGAGGGGCTAAGGAATTGGGATGAGATTACACAGTGAGTTAGTGGCAGAATCAGGACTTGATTCCAAGCTATTGAAAATAGAAGATATAAGACATCCAAGCCCCTGAAATACACAGCATGGACTTACCGAAAGTCTGTGGCATCGGCTTTGGCTTATCCTCATCTTTCCAATGATCCGCTTTCTCTTGCTTCATTTCATCTTCATCATCTAAATTTGTTTCAGTCTCCACAGCTCCAGTTAAAAATAAGGTTGGTGTTTTGGGTGGTGCTACAAAAGTCCCCAAAACAGCAAATTATCCGGTTTATATGGCATAGGACTTCAAGCTAGAAGGACCTTATGAGGGGCAGCTAGGTGGCGCAGTGGATAGAGCACTGGCCCTGAAGTCAGGAGGACCTGAGTTCAAATTCAGCCTCAGACCAAACACTTGACATGTACTAGCTATGTGACCTTGGGCAAGTCACTTAACCCCGATTGCCTTGCTAAAATTTAAAAAAAAAAAAGAAGGACCTTATGAATTAACTAGCCAAATACTCAATTTATAAAGGGGGAAATTAAAGATCAATAGTGCAGTGACTTATTCAAGGTCACACAGGCAGAGTCAGGACTCACCTCAAGAACTGGTTGATTTTGAGGGGCAGCTAGGTGGTACAGTAGATAGAGCACCAGCCTTTGAGTCAGGAAGACCCGAATTCAAATCTGGCCTGAGACACTTACTAGCTATGTGACCCTGGGCAAGTCACCTAACCCTGAATGCCTCCCTGCCCCCCCCTAAAAAAAGTTTATTGATTCTGAATGCAGTATCCTTTTTCTTTTTTTATCAGACCTATCTAGTCCTTTTCTCCAGTTTCTTGGCCTTCTCTCCAGCCCTTCAGAAAGGGTATTATGGAATGAGATAAAGTACATGGAAGCAGTTTGTAAAGTGTTGAGTGTTCCACAAAGAAAAGGAATTATTCATTTCACCCAAAATATCATCCATTTAGGATTTTCAACCCTCTGTCTTAAAACGTTTTCTTATGCTTAGTCTTAAAATTGCTAATTAAAAGGTTCTTCAACATTATTTTAAAAATTTAAATATTTTCATTCATTAAATAGATATTCACAATAATATTAACTAGTTTTATATAGTGCTTTAAGGTTTACAAAGTACTTCACACAGGCTAATTCATTTGACACAACAGGTGCTATTATTATCACCATTTTTACAGATGAGGAAACTGAGGCACAGAACTTTTTTTTTTAAAGTGACTTGTCCTGGGTCACACAGCCAGTGAATATCTGGGGCAGGATGGCCTGGAAGCTCCTGCAGAGCAGGGACTGACTTTTGCCTTTCTTTGTATCCCCAGCACTCACAGTACTTAACAGGCATGTCATTTTTCCTGACTCAGGTTTTCAAGACTCCTTCTATGGGTCCCTCTTCTTCAGCATGGCTTCTGATGTCCAGCACTGTCTAAGCTCTAGATGGAGTCTTGTGCCCTTGGATGGAAGGAGATGAGACAGACATCAAAGAAACCAAAGCCATGGTCCTTCGCCTCCAGGGATTCTCCATGTAGAAATACTTGTAAGTTTCACAACAAAGCAATAGAGTATAACCTTTCTGACTCAGGATCATCCACAATTCTACCAAAAAGAGTTTGAAGTTTAAGAAAGGGGAAACTATGTGGACCTAAGAACATAAGCTCATGGGATCCCATGATCAGAACTGGAAAGGACCTTAGAAGTCCCGTGGTCAAACACCCTCAGTTTAAAGATGAGGAAACACAGGGAAATGCCAAGTAGTTTTGAATTAGATCTTGGGCAGATAAGCTGCTTCACAGAGGAAGCAAGAAGTGGGCAGAGTATTTTGGGTAAATCATCAAATTTTTAAAATGACAACCTGCCTGAATTAAAAGGGGTTCAGTTTCAACTTTAAAGACAGACTGTGGGATCATGATAATAAGGACAGTGATGTAGCCCTTCAGATTACTTTGCCAAGTGCTCTCTATCCACTGCCTGAGAAGGGACCACCCTTGTTTATGTCTTTGTATCTCCAGCATCTAGCACAGAGCAGATGATTAACAAATACTTGTTGAATGAATGAGTCTCACAACCATATGAGGCACAGAATGAAATATTATTGGCCCCATTTTACATGATGAAGCTGAGGATCAGAGAGGTCTAGTGATGTGCCCAGGATCGCACAGCTATTAAGAGTTGGTGCTGTTATTCAAAGCCAGGGCTTCCTGACTCCAAGTCAAACCATCGATCCACAATCCATCTTTCCCCTCCCCATACAACCTTAAATCTGCCCCATAAAAGATTCCTCCTGTTCACCAAGCCGACATACTCTACCATGGACAGCAAATTAGAGCCAAGTGCCCCATATCAGCTGTTATAACCATTAGATTTAACATAAATATTGACTTAAACTTCTCTAAACTCAATATTGCATTTTTATAACTATTCCTCTTGAAGAATCTGGCGGTTTTAAATGTGGAGCATAAAATGAAGTTGACGGGTCATCTATTTTTAACAGCAAAATTACTTTCATGGTAAATTGCAGGCTTCAATTTAAATAAAGATCGCTATCAGTTGACGGAAAAGGTTTCCAGGTCTAAGTTCTCCCTGTAGCTGCCTTACTGGAGAAAATCAACTTTCTTCCTCCCAGATAAATTGTGCTGCAACATTACTAGACTCTGAACAGCCTGCTCCAGTCATCACTGCTACACTAAAAGGTATTCCCTTAGGTTTTCAACCTCTGTTCATATACACATTTTGAGGTCAATACATTAAGAAATGAAAGAATTATAAAATTACAGCCAACATTTCGGATCACGCAAGTCCTGCCAGGGAAAAGCAGCAATGAAGACACTGGGCTCTCTCTGTTCAGAAATATTCTTTCTCATGACAGTATAAAGTCAATCAGAAGATTAAATTCATACGGGTTTTAGAATAAAATGTAGCTTTCAAAGTAATATGAGACTTAAGGTTTATCAGGTGCCAAGACCCGAAGGTGAAAGGTGCCACTTTATTATTCAAATGTGAATAATAGACATATTTTGGAAAGGACAAGCTTCTTAGAGAACTGATTCTCATTTCCATCTGGAGGAGTAAGAAATCAGCATTGCCACACGTGTCAGAGATCTAACGTCTTCCCACTTGGGAATGGTGCATCATCATAACAGGCAGTTCAAGGTCAACCGATGGCTCCCATTCCACTGTTGCTCATTGTCCCAAGGTATCCAGGGCCACAGATTCTCAGTGTTCCCCTCATCCAAACTTCTTATTTTACAGTGAGTAAACTGAGGCCCAGGGAGGGAAGACTTGTTACACACTCATAAAGCTTCAATTCAAGTGCATTTGCTTATCACCAAATTTCATAAAAGAGGACTATTTGGAGGGAGGTACAAATGCCACTCAGTTCAGCAACCACGACCCCTCTTGAACTACAAGATTCATGGAAAGTGGAGCCATGAAAAAGATTTACCTTCGTCTAAAGATCTGTCAAGAGGGCGAGGTGAGGAAGACACCTTGGGTCGGACTAGAGTCAGGTGCACTGTGTCTCCTGCCTTGCGCAACACCTCAATGACATCCTGATTGGCAAAACCCTGGATATCTATTCCATCCACCTATGGAAGGAAGGAAAGAAGGGAGGGAGAAGGAAAGAAGGAAGGAAGGAAGGAAGGAAGGAAGGAAGGAAGGAAGGAAGGAAGGAAGGAAGGAAGGAAGGAAGGAAGGAGGGAGAGAGTGAGAAAAGGAAAAAAGCAAAGAAGGGAGGGAGAAGGAAGGAAGGAGGAAAGAAAAGAGGGGAGGAGGGAGAGAGTGAGAAAAGGAAAGAAGGGAGGAAGAAGGAAGGAAGGAGGAAAGAAAGAGAGGGGAGGAGGGAGAGTGAGAAAAGGAAAAAAGGAAAAAGGGAGGGGGAAGGAAGGAAGGAAGGAGGAAAGAGGGGGGGAGGGAGAGAGTGAGAAAAGGAAAAAGGGAGGGAGAAGGAAGGAAGGAAGGAGGAAAGAAAAGAGGGAAGGAGAGAGGAAGGGAGAAAGGGAAGAAAGGAGAGAAGGAGAGAGGAAAGAAACAAGCCATTATTAAGCTCCTACTAATGTGTCCAGCACTGTTTTAAGCATTTCACAAATTCATTTAATCCTCACAATAAATCTGGGAGGTAAGTGCTATTTAGAAAGTTCCATTAAGGAATAAGGTGTTGGGAAGCCTTAGATTCTCAGGTGTAACTCTACTGGATATGAGGCCTAGATCCTCCTTCTAGTACTCTCAGAACTAGGTAGAAAGAGGCAGGTTAGTTTGTACTAAAAGGAATGTATATCACACATAAAAAAGAACTCTCTGGTTGCAGGCTAGGGGCCATCCTGGAACAAGCACACCCTTGTTCCCCCCAAAATCCTGAAGTCTCAGGGCTCTCAGTCAGCTTTCAGAGATCCTTATGAAGTCATCTAGCCATCTATCAATTGATTTCTAAGCAGAAATATAATTCAATCATGTGAAATAATAAACCTGAACAATAAAAAAATTTGCAGCAAAGGGGATTCTTTAATCTTCCTTAGTTATTCCTTTATGGCCCAAGTACATTTCCCAAAGAATAACCCAAGTCCCCACTGCAATAATGGAAGCCCATCGCTGTAGAATTTGGGATCTGCCAGGATTATTAAACTCCTACCAGCCTCCTCCAAGCTAAGCAGAAATAATTTCCTTAGTTTTTCTTCATAAGCTTTTCCCCCTGCCATCCACCTTGGGGAAGTTTCCCATATCTTTTCCTATAGAAACCTGGTCTCCAAGAGCTTTTTAGTTAGATGAACTTCAAGAATAAGAATACACTGAATGCCTAACCTCCCTCCCCACAGAGATAATAAAGAGAATTTTTAAAAAAATTTGTTCCAATTCTCAAACTAAATTTGGTTACTTACAGCAACTATCCTGTCATGGGCATGAATTTGGCCATTATGATCTGCAGCACTGCCTGGTATTATATTTTTCACATAAATTCCTGAGACATCCCCTGAATAGGCACAAGAGAAATAAAAGAGAAAGAAATCATTAAGTCATCGCCTGATTGCCAAATACTTATCTCTAGGGTATGAAGTAACTGAGGTGAAGGGCTGAAAATGAAACCTACGTCCAACATATTTCCAGTGTGACAGTCAATGGGCAGGTCTAATTTACTTCTTTGTGACAATGGAAGATTCCATTGGTTGGGGAATTGGTATTTGGAAGTGAGAATGATGTGAAAACAAACAAACAAAAAATCAACTAAAAAGCATGTTTCAAAGAAGAATTAACTGCTTTGCCAAATATATCAGTTTGATTTCTGGGGACGGGCAGCTGGCTACAACCCGCCAGCTACCAACATGACAATCAGGACCAATTTAATCATCTCTCTTCGGTAGACTGATGAGAGAGATCCAGCTCCCAACCTCTTCATTCAAGTGAAACTAATTTAAAAAGAATAAAAAAGTAAACAAAAAACAAACAAAAACAAATCAAATGAAACTGATTTTTCCTAACTTCCCAATGACTTTATTGTCAAATCTAATGGCCCTTTCTCAGTCTTGATTCTCCTTCACCTTTCTATAGCCTTTGACATTTTGGGTCACCTTCGCCTTCCAGGTATTCTCCTCTCTAATTTTTAAGGCACCAATCTCTCTCAGGTCTCGCCTCTTACAAATGTGATCAGTCCTTTTCAGTCTCTTCTGCTGGATCATCATTCCCATCATGCCCTTACCCATGGCTATACCTCAGGGCCCGACGTTGGGCTCTTTATCTTACACTCTATCACCTGATGGTTTCATCAGGTCCCATGGGTTACATTATTCAGCTCTATGCAGATGACTCACATCTTTATATATCCAACCCTAATCTCTCTCCTGAGCTCCATTCACAAATCTGAAGCAGCTAGGAGGCACAGTGGATAGAATGAGGGACCTGGAGTCAGAAAGACCCATGTTCCAATTATTTAGATCTGACTTTATTTGTGTGAAAAGTGTTTTGTAATTGTGTTGGCAAATGCTATTCACATCCAGAAAAAGAACCATGGAGTCTGAACGCACATCAAAGCATACGACTTTCTCTCTCTCTTTTTTTCTTTCTCGTGGTTTTTCCCTTTTGTTCTGATTCTTCTTTCACAACACAACTAATGCGGAAACATGTTTAATATGCTTGTACATCTATAATCTATATCAGATTGCCTGCCATCCCAGGAGGGCGGAGGGGAGGGAGAAAAAAATTTGGAACTCAAAATCTTATAAAAGTGAATGCTGAAAACTAAAAATTAATTAATTAATCAATTTTTAGAGAAAGGCCTATGTTCATATTCAGCCTCAGGCACTAACTAGATGTGTGACCCTGAGGAAGTCATTTAAGGTCAGTCTGCCGAAGTTTCCTCATCTATCAAATGGGAATAACTACAGTACCTATCTCGCAGAGTTTCTGTGAGAACCAAATTGATAAAACAATTTGTAAGCCTGAAAGTACTACCTAAATGCTAGCTAGCTAGCACTAGCAGTGGTGGTAGTAGTCTAAGTAGTAGTGGTCACATCCCAAATGGCTCTTAGACATTCCAACCGGGATTTCCTGAAGACATTGCAACTTCACTATGTTCAAAACAGAACTCATTATTCTCTCCCAAACTCATCCTTCTTCTGACCTTCCTAGTTGAAAAGAAAACACCACCCTCCTTTCTATCTCCCAAGTCCACAGCCTAGACTCTTCCCTTTCACTCACCTCACCTCTGTAATCAATGGCCAAGTTTTGTTATTTTGCCTCCCACACATCCCTTCACTTCTCACCTGGCTACCACCCTGGCTAAGGCCTCACCATCACTCAGTCTCACTGGTGGCCCTGCCTCGAGTTCCTCTGACTCATTCTACCTATGCCATCTTCTACCTAGCCATTAAAGTGATTTTATAAAAGGGCACATCTGACCATGTCATGATCACATTTATTAAATTTTGATGACTCCCTATTATCTCTAGCATCAAACACAAACTCTCTATTGGGTTTCTAATGCCCTTCCCAAAATGGCTCCAACCAACCCTTCCCGGCTTATTCTATATCACCTCTCTTCTATATTTCTGCTCTTCTTGCACACAATGGTCCAGCCAAACAGATCTGGTTCCTTACACATAGCCCATCCCTGTGCTTTTCCCCAAGAACTCACTCCCTGTTCCCCTCTGTGCCACAGAATCCCTTATCTCCTTTGGTACTCAAAAGCCACCTATGACACATCTTGTCTGATCCTTCTAACTAGAGCCACTCCAAAAAAGTTAGCTTATGTATATTTTGTATATACTTCTGTATTTATATTCTGTCTCTTCCAATAAACTGGAAACACCTTGAGGGCAGGAACAATTTCCCTTTCTGTCCTTGTATCACTCAGCAATGACTTCAATTCAGCTTTAGACCAGTATTGCTTTCCCTATGTATCTGCACTCTAGGGTCCAGTAGAGCAAGGCTGACCCCTCTTTTACATGACACTCTCTTGAATTCTTGAAAAGATACCCTGTTCCCACCTAAATCAATGGGAAAAAGGAATGGATATGGAGATAAAATCTGAACAAGCCATACTGTCTACCAGTGCAAGTGGCAGACAGGTTAACCATAAAGAGGAATAACAATGTGAAACTGTATTAAAGTTATTGACACAAGAGACCAGACACATGATAGAGAGACCTGTTATCAAAGCATTCTAGACATATCGTTATGAGATTCTGCTTCACTGTTTTCAGGGTCATACTTAGGGGAGAGGAATATAGTCTGTGATATATCTGTTGGGTTTTTTAAAAAGGTATCCCCCCAAAATGGATATATGTTTTTTAAAAAATGCTATATGGCGAAAGTATGATTTGAGTGGGGTTTTTTAAATAGATTTTTTTCTTATCTTTTATTTTCATGTCATATGCATTTCCCCCATATGCCTCCTGTTTCCCCCTCCCAGGGATCCATCCTGTATAACAAAGAATTTTTTAAAAAAAGGAAGAAAAAAAAATTCCAAACTATTCATTAGACAGTCAGTCCAATACCTGCTCTAGCTTTCATGTTCATTCCTGATTGCCTTCAATGTCTAGAAGAATGAAAGAATTTTCATCTCTTTCTCTCTGCTCTTTAGCATAGCAAGACATGCTAATATAGCTTCTATATATCCTCAATTTCCTCTGAGGAGATGATGTTCTAGCTACTTATCATGGAGCAATATTTAGGGGAAGTCTTTCTTTTGCCATATCCTTCTTTGGTTTCTCTTGCAATGGCTAGTAAAAATGTCTTGCATGCACTATGAATGAAAGGCCAAATGAGTAGACACTAAATAAGTATTTGGATGGATGGATGGAAGCCAAGCTCAGGAACTCAGATACCCTTTCTCTAAAAAGTCTTAGGAAAAAAATGACTGTCTTCAAATGCAAACAGCAATTTTTGCTAAATTCAAGTACGTGAATACACAACCCATATTTAGCTATTTTGGAATTCATTTGCATTTCCAAACTCAAAAAAGGGGGTGAGAGGCACTTAAGAAAGAAATGAAAAGCTTTAAAAACAGGTATTTCATTAGGCTAAAAGGGCACTGGGTGGGCCTGACAGGAATTATTCAGAACTCTGAATACATTAGCATCCCTAATTTTTCCACCTGCTATGAGCAAGGAAGACTATCAATTTTTTAAAAAATCAATTAAGAACAATCCTGGTGCAGTCAAAAGAGGGCTAGATTTGGAGCCAGAAACTTGCATTCAAGGGACAGCACAGCCCCTTTCTATCTATATGACCTGGAGCAAGTCCCTCAACTCCTCTGGGCCTCAGTTTCCTTATCTGTAAAATGAGCAGGCTGGGCAAGATGAGCTCAAAGGTCCATTCCAGCACTAAGTGTAGCCTCTGCGAACCTGACCTTACACACTCCTTACCAGAAAACAGCTGAGACCGTTTCACCTTTGTTTCTGACTGTTGCTGGGTATCCTCAGATGCTGCCATTGTAGGCGATGGCTATTTCTTTTCTCCCTTAGTTTGGGTACTTAGATCAAGCTCTGATGAGGGCAGTGATGAGGGACAGATCCTCTTCCAGGACATAGCCCGTGCTTTTCTTAACTGTGTCTTTCCATAAACCACACAGAATCACCATGAACCTTAGAGTTGCCAAATAAAACCTATGCAGCCACAATTAGAAAAACAGGAAGCCGGGAAAATCTTTTGCAACAAGTTTCTCTGATAAAGGCCTCATTTCACAAATGTAAAGGGAACTGTGAGAAATTTATGAAATAAGATACAATTGATAAGGTCAAAGGATATAAAAAGCAGTTTTCAGAAGAAGAAATCAAAGCTATCCATAATCACATGGAAAAATGCTCTAAATCACTAATGATTAGAGAAATGCAAATTAAAACAACTCTGAGATACCACTTCACACCTATCAGACTGGTTGGCAGGACACAAAAGGAAAATGACAAATGCTGAAGAGAATGTGGAAAAATTGGGACACTAATGCACTGTTGGTAGAGTGGTGAACTAATCCACCCATTCTGAAGAACAATTTGGAACTATGCCCAAAGGACTATAAAACCAGCCACATCCTTTGAGCCAGCAATAATAGGTATCCCAAAGAGATCAAAGAAAAGGGAAAAGGACCCATTTGTACCAAAATATTTCTAGTGGCTCTTTTTTGTGGTAGCAAAGAATTGGAAACTGAGGGGACACCCATCAGTTGGGGAATGGCTCAGCAAGTTGTGGTATGTGATTGTGATGGAATACCACTGTGCTATAAGAAATGATGAGCAGTATGGTTTCAGGAAAACCTGGGAAGACTTACCTGACCTAATGCAAAGTGAAGTAAGCAGAAGCAGGAGAATAGTGTACACAGTAACACAGTGATTGTAAGGACGATCAGTTCCGAAAGACTCTGATCAAGATAAGGATCCAAGACAATTCCAGAGAACCCATCATGAAAAACGCTCTCTACCTCCAGAGAGAGAACTGATGAACTCGGTGCAGACTGAAGCAGAGTTGTTTGTTTCTTCACTTGCTTTATTTTTATTATTTTGTTCTGTTTGTTTTCTTTTGCAACACGGCTAATATGGAAATATGTTTTGCACGACTTCCCGTGTATAATCAATATCAAATTGCTTGCCTTGTCAAGAATGGGAGAGAAATGGGCACGAGGGAAAGAATCTGGAACTCATAAGTTTAAGCAATGATTGTTTTCAAAAGTTTTATACATAGAAATATTTAACAAAATAAAAAGAAATGGTAAAAGTCACCAATCATCTAGAATCACCAGCATATAAATGAAGTTTTATTTTTTAAATTAATAAAAATCCATTTTTCTTCCTCCTTCCTCCATTGAAAAAACTAGAAAAATAAAACCTTTGTTAACAAATATGCATAATTAAGTAAAATTCCTGCCTTGGTCGTGTCCAAAAAAAATCTGTCTTAATCTGTACCGAGTCCCTCACATCTCTGTCAAGAAGTATGTAGCCCAAAAGTGATTTTTAAGTATTCAAACTATATTTTTCTTTTCTTTAAAAATATCTGTTTTTCCCCCATGACCTTGGTTTCCTAATAAATCCTCTCCCTGCCCTATCTAGAGAGCCATTACTTAAAATAAAAAAGAAACAATAAAAAAAATCAACAAAACTAATGTCTACTGAATCTGATAGTACATGTAAGGTCAAGCTATTTTGCTCTAACACGGAAAAAATCATAACTTTCTAGTTTTTCAAATTGTTATTCTGAAAACATACACAAGCAGGTGTGTTGCGTGTTTCATATCCCCATCAAAAATAGTGTCTTTCTTTCTCTGCTCAGAGAACAGTGTGCAAGTATCCTTCAGCAGCTGTGCTAAAAATAGAGTTCTGGGGATAAGCATTGGTGCCCAAGGGGTCAGACAAACAAGGAAATCCAGGGGGATACAGGAAACCTCATCAAAAAAGGATGCTTTGTTTTTCTGACTTTGTAAAATATATATTTATAAATGCTGAACACAGTAGTTAATGTACCAACTTGAGGAGATTGATAGGTGAAGATGTGACAATAATTTCTTTACTGATATCCTGCCATTGGAAGGCCTTCAAGGTACTGGCTAGACTTTCTTTGGACAGCTGGTTAACTTTGATCTACTTTAATTTCTTCATCAGTAAAGTGGGATAATAATCATATTTGTAAAAGTACTTTGCTAACCTTAAAGTTCTATATAAATCCTAGGGATGAGGAGGAGGAGGAGGAGGAGGATGAAGAAGAAATTGAGGTTTAGAGGGAAAATGATATGTTCAAAGCCACCCAGAGTGAAAAGGGCAGGATTTGAAAACGGATCCCTTTGACATTACACCTCTCTACCTCTACCTGCCTTGTAACTGCTGAGCTCTCATCTAATGCTAAAACTGATGATTATCAGGAGCTAACCACCTACTGACAGAGAGGTAAAGTATTCCAGATGCAGAATGAGACAGACATTTTTCAACATGGTCCCTGTAGGGATTTGTCTTGCTTGTCTACGCATATTTGTTACAAGTGCTTTGTTTTTGTTTTCTCTCTTTTAAATGGAGGTAGGCATGAAAGAAAAAATGCTTATTAACTGAAAAACAAAGGTAAGAAAAAAGGGGAAAAATCATATGCTCATCAGGACCAGTACTATAAAACTTTCTGATGATGCCTATTGTAACCAGGCAGGTAGATGGATAGATAGATGGAAGGATGGATACGTATATATGATAGAGATGGAATGAGGGAGGAAAGAAGGGAGAAAAAAAGGGGGAGAGAGAGAGAGTACATTTATTAAGTGTTTACTGTGTGTCAGGTACTGTGCTAAGTTCTGGGGAAATAACAGAACTCAAAGGATGAATCTCAGTTCTCTGTTGTCCTTCATAAGAATTCATTTTTATGGCACATTCATGAATTTTGTCCTCCAATGTCCAAAAGTCAAAGATATTGAAGGAACTGTACTCAGAACTTGAAAAACCATCCATGAAAACTTTCAAGTAGAAAAGAAAAAGCATTTACCTGCATGCGAAGACCCAGCATACCCAATGATTGTAATGCCGAGACTCTGGCCGTCCCTTTTAGTGAGTTCAACATCATAGGTATCAAAAAGAGAGGCATCAACCTAAAGAGGAAAAAGAAAGCCAATTTCAATCGATAATAATGGCATCTACTATCAAAGGATCAAATGATGATGGAAGGTGCCTCCACCGCCAACTAGTGCAACCTTTCCATTTTACAAGTGGGCAAACTGAGGCCTAGAGAACTGAAGTGACTCATCCAAAGACATACATAGCATCACAGGTCTTGAGTGGGAAGGGAACCTCAAAGTCCAGCTTGTATAATCCTTTCATTTTACAAGTGATTTGTCAAAGATAACATACGCCTATGTCACTGTGAAAATACTCTCCGTTTTTCCAGGATCTTTTTCTTCAACAAGCAATTTCGTAGGGATGTTATATCAATAGAATTGGAGGCCAAATAGTGATTGAAAGAATAAGGAGAAACCTTAAATTGAGGGAAGAAAGGATTTTAGGCTGAGACTAAATGTCAGAAATATTATACAAGAGATTGGGCTAAAAATATTATCCTAGAGGTTTAAGTTGAAAAAATAAATGATTGTGTTCCTTGGGATTTACAACGTGACAAAGAGCAGATGAGGAAGGAATCCTCACAACACTATTTTGGACACAAATCAAAAACTTACTTTTTTTTAAAAGGGCTTTTAAAAGTAAACTGAAACTCTTTTTTAATTAAAAAAAAAGAAAAAGAAAAACATGGAAATAACTTCCAAAAAAATCTTATTTTTTCCCCCAGAATGCATGAATTGTGTGTGGGGGGGGGGAGCACTGAGGATCAGAACATACATAAATAAGTTTGTAAAAAAGTATAGAGCCACAACTCTTAGCCAGGCTAAATCCTAGCACTGAGAACAGATCTAGCGGCTCATTTGGGCCTCTAGAAATCAAACCGAAAGGATCTGCTCCTCATGAAGCTACTCTTCAGTTAAGCAGCAACATAATCACCGGCCATCACCAAGTACTTGGGGCAGGAGGAAGCATGTGCTCTACCTATGCTACTCTTTACTGTTTTTATGTGTCCCATCTCTCTCCATACATGGCCATCTATTGTTTTCTGGTTCTAAGAATTCTACCGGCCAACCCTGCCACCATCATGCTATGTGCCATTTCTCAGACACAAGCATCTGAATTTCCCAATATTTCATGAGCAAGGGATCTCACTAGTTAGTACCAGCCATGGTTTGCAGGATAGAAGAGACTCCAAGTCATCTGAGTCATAGAGGAGTCGCTATCTGCAATAGCAGAGGGAGTGCTCATGACAAGCATAACAGCTATCCCGGAAGCACTGACAACAGACACTGATAGAAAAGGCACCTAAACAACTCTCGGTATTTGAGACCCACTAAGAGACAAAGATGGTTTTATTTTGTCTTTAACCCTTTAGTCTCAAGAGACCAGTGCACTCTGATTAGGGATTCAGAGGATCTGGGTTCCAATCTCACCTCTGATGTTACTATGCATGTGACTTGACCACCGTGGCCTTCAGTCTCCTTGCCTGTAAAATGGACTGGACAAGGGGTTCTTAACCACTGGCAGTCTGGCCAAGCCTCTACAGCCCATCTCAGAATACTGTTGTTGAATGCAGTCAGTCCAATGACCCAAGAAACTTTCAAAGGTTCCATGTTGAAAAATGCTCTCCCAACTCCAGAGAGAGAACTGATGAACTCTGAATGCAGACTGAAGCAGACGTTTTTTACTTTCTTTTTCTTTGGGTTTTTGCCTGTTTTCTTTTGCAACATGGCTAATGTGGAAATGTTTTTCATGATTTCACATATATAATCAATATTAAATTGTCAGCCTTCTCAAAGAGGAGAGAAGGGAAAGAGTGACGGAGAGAATTTGGAACTCAAAATGTTAAAAAAATGAATGTTTAAAAGTTTTTTTTACATGTAATTGGGAAATATTTAATGAACCAAAGGAAAAAAAATTAAACATTAAAATCTTTTTAATGAAATAAAAAAATAAGTGCAGTCAGTCAATAGATATTTATTAAATGCCTCCTATGTGCATGCCAGACACTGTGCTAAGCACTGGATACACAAAGTAAATTATACAGAATTACACAGGAAACCACTTATATTGGAATATAATTATCAAAATATTTTTTAAAACAAGTTCACAGACCTCAGGGTAAGAACTTCTGATCTAGTCTAATTATTCCCCGATTTTATGAATAAGGAAACCGAAGCCCAGGTAGGCTAAGTGACTAGCTAAGAGAACTGAGGTCACATAGCTAGGGGCAGAGCCAGAATGTAAACCTAGCTCTTCCTGTCAGACCTGCTCTTGTGGATGTAACATATCACAGCAGAAAGAGCGCTGACTGATTCCAATCCCACTTTGAACATTTACTACCAATCTGACCTGGGGCACGTCACTTCACTCTTATGAGTTTCCTCATCTGTAAAATGAGGGAGTTGGACTAAATGACCCCTGAATTCCTTTCCAGCTCTTCTAACCCTATGGATGACTCCACATCAGTAAAAGGCTAGCTCTGACCCAAGGAGCGCTAAAGTCAAGCCCAATCAAGAAGAATTTATTAAGCACCTATCATGGGCCAGTCACTGTGTGAAAGTGACTTCTGAGTTCATCATGGATGGGGCCAGATTTGCTTGTACATACAATTTCCCCTCTTTTTTTCCTCCTTGATCTTTCTGTTAATCCTCCACATTTTCTCTCTCCCTTCCCCTTTTATTCTTCTCCTTTTCCAAAACCTTGTGCCTATCAGCATGATTCATGAGTATGGCTGACCTACTCCAGGAGCACCCAGAGAGAAAAAAGCGTTGTCAACCCTGATTAGATGTGTCTTAATGTGAACTTAGCTTAAAAGACTCAAGATGGAAATGTATACTCACAGAGCTCTGACTGCAAGGAGGCACAGATGGTAGCGTAACAACAGGCAAGGTTGGTGGGGTTGGGGGAGTCACAGAAATTTCCCCAGTGGGGTCTCTCGCCACCACCATCCTCACCAAATTTCCACAATTCCTCAGGACTTGAGCAACTTGCTCACTGCTCATCCCTTGCACGTTTGTGTCACCAATCTTCAAAATATGGTCCCCTGTTTGAAGCTTCCCATTCTTCAGGAGGCATGAGCCAAAAAGACAAAAAATGAATGAATGAATGAATGAATGAATGAATGAATGAATGAATTGAGAAAAAAAGATATTCTGCAAAGCACTGGGCATATGAATAGAAGTAAAGAAAGACACCAACCCACACTCAAACAGATCACATTCTGAGGGCAGAAGTGAAATTCCTTTGTACTACTTGGTATCTACCTTGTCTATCTATCCACATGTTGAATCCCTCTCCCCAATAGAATGCAAGCTCCTTCAAGCCAGGGACAGCTCATATATCATCAGATTAGAGTGTTTAACAAATGCTTGTTGACTTGACCTGACTTGGGAGTTCCCTACATGGATACAATCAAAGGTCTAGATAGATAAATAAATATAAACTTTGAAGTTAAAATGAATAGAATCACCTAGTCACCTAATCCAATGCCTTACTCCAAAACACCACTCCTTCTACAATAAAAATAATATTTGAGAAATCCTCAGCTATCCCTCATCCATCCTGTGCTTGAAGCCCTTCGCGGAGGGAGAGCCCACCACATCCGTCCAGGGCAGCCCCATTCTTCGACTTTGGGACAGCTCTCTCAGGAAGCTGCTGCTGACACTGAGCCCAAACCTGCCTCGGTCACTTCCACCAACCTGCACCGTGTTCTTGGTTCACCAGATCACTGATGGAGGGAACACTCATCAGGACTGATGAATACACCTCAGTCTTGAACTTCAAAGGAAAATATGCTCCCCACATGGTGCCTGACACAATGCCCAGAAAGTGCTTTGCATCAGAAAGCATTATGCGAATATAAGTTGTTATTGCTATGATTATGCCCTTATTCTTCCACCAAATAATATTTGCCCAACCCAGAAGCATTTTCAAGAGAAGAAATGTGATCCATTAGTAAATTTAACAGGTTCCCTCCCCCTGAGATAAGCCTCCACTAACAGGTTAATGCCTTAAGACTTGACCACTGACTGAATGGAAAATCCTAATTACTAGAGTACCACTTGTGGGCATTTTTCCCCACAATTTCTTTCTACCTGAGTAGCACTGTTGAAGAATAGCAGAGCAGTTCTTTGAAACCCCAAAATGAAAGGCATCAAGTGGAAGGTAAGAACCATTTTCTGCTCGCCTGGCACACAGCACAAAATAAAGCAAAGCTGATATTCAAAGCTGAAGCATTCCTTTTGCAACCGAGAAGCTGCTAAGTTGTAAAGGCTCAGACGGTGGCCCACGGAGAGAAGGGTCAGACAGCTCCCTGCTGCCTTCTGCCTCCAAGACCCAGTCCAAACTCCCAAGCCTGGCCTTAACAGCCTCTGAATGTCAAAGTGTCAACAAGTATTTATTAAGCACCTGTTATTTGCCAGGCACTGTGCTAAAACTGCTGGGGATGCAGAGAAAGGGCAGAAAAAGGGTCCCTGCCCTCCAGGAGCTCACAGTTTAATGGAGGGAACAACATGATCCTCCTCTTCCTCTTCTTCCTCTTCTTCCTCACAGCCACCAAATTCACATTCCTAAAGCACAGATCTGGCCCTGTCACCTGATACCCCTTCACAAGAGGCTTCAGTGCTTTCCTATTGCCTCTAAGATAACAGTCAGATGAATCTGCTTGGCATATAAAGACCAACCTGACTCCAATCTATATTTAAAAATTATATTCTGCTGGGGAAGAACGACTTGTACATAGATCGGCAAATACAAAGAATATACAAGGTTGTCATTTTAGTGAGGACGAGCACCGCCAACTGTGGAAATGAGGAAGAGCTCCATGTTGGTCAAGGCCCTTTGGCTAAGCATTGAAGTGGGCCAGAGATTTCACAAAATGGGAGTGGGAGAGCATTCCAGGCAGGAGAGGCAACCCCTCTTCAGAAGGCAGGATGTGGTCTGTAGGGAAGAGCACTTACTTAAGTGACCTTTGCCCAAGGTTACAGAGGTAGTGAGGTGAAGAGTTAGGATTCACACCCAGGTTCTCTCCACAAAATCACACTGCCTCTCCTGCAAGGGTTCGGATCCTTTTGGCAATCTGGTGAAGCCCACGACTCCTCCCCAGGATCAGATTTTTAAATAATTGCTCATTTTTAGTTAGAGGTAGAGGAAAATAAAGATACCCTTGAAGCATGAATGACTTCGGCAAGCCGTCCTCATTACTATTTCCTCCAGGTAACACTCCACCTCCTAAACAGGCTGACTTTCCTGCCTGAAATGCTCTCCCACTACCATTTTGTGAAGTTTCTAGCCCCCTTCAATGCTCAGCTAAAGGGCCTTGGCCACCATGGAGCCTTTTCTAATCTCCCCCATTGGTAGTGTTCGTCCTCACCAAAATAACAACATTATATATCTTCTTTTTTATTTCCCCAGTAGAATATCACTTTCTTGACGGCAGGGACCATTTATTTTGGCTTTCAACCCCCAATGCCTGGCACAAAATAGGCAGTTTTGGAATTGGACTGAACCACTTTGCACATGGAAGTAACTTAATGCTTTTGAACTGACTGTTTGACTTTCTCTTTTAAAATGCACTATATATATATATTTTTCCCAATTTTACTTCACCTCTTGCTTAATTTAAACTGTTGGCAGTTAATTTGCATCTGTCACTGGAAGCCAAACATTTTGTTCATTACAGAAAAGCAGGTGTTCTCAAGAATCAGTCAGGGCAAAAACAGTTATTAGTCAGATTGATAGATAGGGAAGGCTCTGAAATGACAGGCAACTTTCTTCATTCCCGCATTTCAAATCGCTGAAGGTCTCCTCCTTCCATGAGACTAGGCAGGAAAATTAAAAGGAACAGAGTTCAATTTGTACTTGAACAGGTATCAGAAATCAACAAAGGCCAAAAGGCCTCATTCTTTCATTCATCTATTAGTGTACTACCCTTTTATAAAAAAATTATTCATTTAAAAACCTAAACTTTCTGGGACTCACAACTATTTTCTCTTTTAAGAGACAGAATAATTCTGAGCCAGAATCTTATCCTTGTGTCTCATTGGAAGAAGGAGGCGAGCCTGGGTTCTTGATGGTCCACGGGTCTGACTGGACCTTCCCTAGCCTAGTGATGGCTATCTGAAAATTAGCCTGGCTGAGTTTAGAGACACTCACTAGGTTGGCTGAAGAAGAAGAAATTTTTTAGTTCCACTAATTTTTTCAAAGACCACCTACTAGGTCATAGAAGAACTCAAGCCTCAATGGACCTGTGATCCCATCGCCATGGGGTTCACCTCCAACACTACAGGTCATCCACCACTGCCCATCCTAGACATCTCCCAGGCATGGCCTCCCCAAAGTTCAACACGGGGAATCCACTCAACATGCAAAGGACGTTCCTCACACTCTCTTGACATTGCAAGAGCACCTATAAAACTACAATCTGTCCACTATTTACCCCTCACTCTTGCCAGGGACAGTGAGGCTATATGCCTGGGAGTCACGAGGATGCTGCCTTTACCTAGAGCAAGTTAGCTCCCTCCTCTAGTCCTTCTGGAACATACATTGGCTCCCTTCATTGGAAGGGTCACATCAGAGAGGGGCAGAGGAGCTCTTAGAAGAATGAACTCATAAAAGTGACCAGGACTAAAAGAACTTGCCTGGATATGCCAATGTATTTATACCAACAAAGAACTGGAAACAAAGTAAATGCCCACTAACTGGGAAATAAACAAAGCCAATGCCCGTCAATTGGGGGATGGCTAAACAAACTGTGGTAAATGAATGCAATGGAATTTTACTGCACTATAAGAAACAATGATTCTGATGGATACAGAAGCATCTAGCAGATGAACTGCTACAAAGTTCAGCGAGCAGAGGCAAGAAAATCATGTACACAATGATTACAACAATGTAAATGGAGTGAACATGGATAAAATAATTGAAGACGAATTCTGTGAAGTTATAATGACCAAGCTTGGCCCCAGAGAAGAGAAATGTTAAGGCAGCTTCCTTCCCGCTGTATAGAGGGAGGGGAGTGTGGGTGTGGAACGCTGCCTACAGTGGCCAACTTTCAATACTTCAGAACTGGCTTCTCCCTCCTTGCTTTTTTTTTCATCCTTTATCATTACTGATGGTTCTTTCTGTGAAGAGGAAGGAGAAGCATCAAGAAATGTTGGTGACATAAAAACAAAAGATATCAATTCAAACTTATCTATTTTTTAAAAAAGGATCTAGTCTCAAGTGGAACAAAAAAGGCATCTTTTGCCCACAGTAGCCTTACACTTCAGTAGAACAGACACACACGATGTGATTCAAGGGGCATAGCTAAGGACACTTTCACTCTCAACTACAATCACACCAATGAAAGATTTATTTGGGTGAACAGTTGTCCATAGAAAGTTAGTAGGAGGGAGCAAGGAAGATTATTTGTGGGAAGGGGGTGGAAGAATAGTGGTAGAAAGAGCAACCTTAGTGTAATTTAGTCTAACCAAATCAATTCACCATCCTTCTATCATGTCACTGAGAATAGACATACTAACGAAATTGAAATGTTGATAACAGCAACAGCCCATGGTTGAACTTGGGTTATGTATAGGAACGAGGAGTCCAGTTTCCAGTGCAGACTCTGAGAAGGAGGGCTGGAGACCAGTACCTTGGTCCTGGAGGCAAGGGGCACCAGGATGTGGCGAATGGTACAGAAAAGGTAGCAGGGAGGCACCGAAGATTAACAATCTAGGGTAGGCCAGCTCCCAGAAGTCACCCAGGGAGCAGCTCTTCCCGTGGCAAGATGCAATCCAAAGCACTGGACAGCCCCATGACCCAAGACTGCATGCTGACAGGAAAGGGCTTATCTGGATAAATCTGCCCCAAAGTAGCCACACACCTCGTTTGTCTGCCTACCACAGACTCTTGGAAGGGAGGCAAAAGATGTCTTTTTTTTGTTCTGTTTGAGTCTGGATCCCTTTTTAAAGTCATTTTCGGCTTGGATGGCTGGAAAACAGTGCAGCCTGGTGGCCAGAGGGAGGCCGGGGACAGGGAGAACAGGACATCTAAAAAAAGGCTAGTTATATTCCTAATAGCCTTGAAAAAATTTCTCCCACACCAAGCTGAAGAGGTTTTGTCAAAGGACACCTGGACAGTGCTGTACAGACTTGTACGATTAATGGTTTTGTGGAAATGGACACTCCCTCAACATAGCCAGATTACAACCTCTCAGGCCTTTTTCTTTCAGCTACAGGTTGGCCCAGATGACCTGCAAGCTTCCTCTCAATTTAGAGGTTCTGTGATTCTGCAGCTGTAACTTAGGTTTGTTTTTGCTAAAAGTTGCTAAGTCTTAAACAAACAACTTTTTTGAACAACGAAAAATAACAATGACACAGAAAAGCCACACACCCGATGGGCCAGTCCTCCAGGAACAATCGTCTTCACAACGACACCACTTGATTTTCCGCCGACAATGCCGAAACCTAAGCCGGAGCCATCGTTAATAAGTTCGACATCTTCAACGTGACCCCAGCAAATCTACAATTGACAGCAAAAAGCAACTGTTAGAGTCAGGCCACCATCAACATTTCTGGGCTTCTGTATGGAGAGGAAGGCCCTACACTCAACAAATCCAACAGGTATTAAAAATACTGAGCACCTGTTATATGCAAGGCATTCAAAAAAAAGGGATTAAGAAGACAGTTCCTGCTCTCAAGGAACTGAGCATTTGTTTGGTAGGGAAGATAGAATACACACCCTGTTGAGAGAGACACGCAAGTAGACAGAGGTACAGACAAACAGAGACAGAGACAGACAGGCAGAAAGATGGACAAGCCACGTTTATGAAGGAGTGCAATTAGAACTTGACAGATGGGGACTATTTTGACAGGCAAAGATAGACCCAGAAGGCATTCCAGATCAAAGGAGAGCTAGGGAGGCGGGAGAGTTAAGCCTGTGTTTGGAGAACAGTGTGGAGGTGGCACAGGGAGGCTGGAATGTCTCTGAGGAGTTAGGCAATGGAGAGCCACAGAAGACGTAATGCTTAGGTAAACTGAGGTGGTGGCAGTGTGTGTGAAGGGACTGGAGGCAGGAAGAATAATCTGGAGGTCATTTTAAAATTCCACAAGTGAGATGAAAAGGCCTGTCACCCAAAAGAGAAAGGAGACACTTCTTGATATCTTGCCCCAATTTCCATTGGAAATTTGCAATGCATTCTAGAAACTCAGCTGCCCACCACAACAGCATGCAGGCATGCACCCAACCAAAACCACACACGTGGGCCAGCTAGGTGGCACAGTAGATAGAGCGCCGGCCCTGGAGTCAGGAGGACCTGAGTTCAAATTCGGCCTCAGACCAAACACTTGACACTTACTAGCTGTGTGACCCTGGGCAAGTCACTTAACCTTGATTGCCTCACCAAAAAAAAATACATATATATAATCAAAACCACACATATCTACTCTTACTGCTTAGTGGATGTTCTATTATAGCAAACAGGAATTTAAAGGTTATCAAGGAGAAAGAATCTGCTTTCTTTAAAAATATAAAAACATATAAAGCAACACAATGACAAAAGTTTCCATTAAGTAGAACAGACATCGTATGACTTCTATTCTCCCCATTTTACAGTTGAAGAAACTGAGTCTCAGAGATGACGTGCCATGCCATAAAGGATACCACTCTGAATTCTGAGGCAGCAAGGTACCAAGGGGTAAGTAAAGGCCATACTGGGAGGACCTAGTGTCCATCCTCCCCCCAGCCAACTGCTAACTGTACAGCCCTAAGCAAGTCTCTCCATTTGGGGGGAGGGAAGAAGGACTCAGCCCCCTCCTCACTAAAATGAGGGGGTTAGACTAGCTGGGCTCTAATATCCCTTCTGGCTCTAAATACAGATCCTCTGCAAAGACATCCAGACCAGGACTCTACCTAAAGAGCCCAAAGAAAAAGGATGTATAAATAGCTCCGTCGGCTCTTTTTGTGGCGACAAACAACTGGACGTTGAGGGACTGCCTATCAACCGAAGAATGGCAGAATAAATTACTCTGTATTAGTCTAACGGAATAGAAACATGCTGTAAGGAATGATGAAGGAAGTAACAGAGAAACTGAAAACACTTGCTAAGATTGGGGCAGCTAGGTGGTGCAGTGGATAGAGCACCAACCATGAAGTCAGGAGGACCTGAGTTCAAATCCAGCCTCAGACCAAACACTTGACACTTACTAGCTGTGTGACCCTAGGCAACTCACTTAACCCCAATTGCCTAAAAAGAAAAAAAAATAAAAGAATTGTTCTTATGAAAACACTTGCTAAGAACTGATGCAGAGCAAAATGAGCAGAACCAAGAAAACAATTTATATAGTAATTACACTGGAAAGAACAACTAATTTGAAAGACTTAAGACTTCTGATCAACACAATAGTGGAGCATGAGTCCAGAGGGCCCGTGATGAAGCAGGGTCCCTCCTTCTGACACAGAGGGGATGAGTCCAGAGGGCCCGTGATGAAGCAGGGTCCCTCCTTCTGACACAGAGGGGATGAGTTCAGAGGACAAAATGACATTTTTTTAGACATGGTCAATGTGGGAATTTGTTTTCCTGGAATATCCATATTTGCTACATGGGGTTTTTTCTCTCTTTTTTACAGAAGAGGTGTGAGAGGAAAAGAAAATAAATTTTTGTTAAGGAAAATTAAATTAAAATGAGAAAAAAAGATCCTTTGCAAAGAAAATAAAAATTAAAAAAAATCCAAGGTCAAGTAAAAGCAAATTATCTGACTACAGACAGCATCAAAGAAGAAAGAATCCTTTCCCTATCTTCAAAACTCAGTCACAGAACTGGAGAGCCCACTTAGTCTGACTCACACCTAGGAGAATCGCAGCTACATCACTGACGAGTGGTCACCCAGCCTTGGGTGGAGAACTCAGACCCTTCCAAGGCAGCCTAAATCACTGGCTGATAGCTTTGGCTGATAAGGAGTCTTTCACAACAGCAAGTCTAATCTGTCTCTATGCCCCAGGGCTCCTAGTTAGGTCTTCTGGGGCCATGCAGAACGATCCTGATCCCTGTTCCAAGGGACAAGCTAATGACTCATTTTCCTAACAGCAGCTCAATTTGTCTTCTGACGCTCAGCAAACAAACACTTGTCATCAAGGTCAGACACACAAGCCCTTCTGGGACAAGCGACAGCAAAGAGAAAAAAAAAAGCCTTTATGAAATATCCTGCCTACGTGAAAATGCTAACTCCTTTTAGTGAAGTCAGATCTCACCTCATATGATAACATGTCGTGAGATGCTGGCAAGAAAGTTTTCCTCTCTGGACCTCAGTTTCCTGATCTCTAAAATGAGAGGATTGTACTCATCCTTCCAGATCTAAATATATGATCAGATGATTCTCAGAACACAATCAAAATTTCTCTTTCTCCTCTCCAAAGGCTCCAGGTCAGCCTGCACTCAAACCTCACAGAGCCAGGAGGAACATCTGACCTGAGGCTTTGCTCAGGTGAGCAAAGTGACTGCCCCTCCCTAAACATTTAGGGCAACTCCTCCACCACCTGACCAATTGCCTTGGCCCCCAGGACATTCTTCCTATTTCCTTCCCCACCAGTTCTGGAAGCAGGAACCATAGAAACTATCAATGTCCCTGGATGGGGTGTGTCAATCTTCTCTACATTCCACAGCTAGGTGAGTTGTTTCCTCCATTAAAATGTAAGGGGCCAGTGACTGTCTTTGCTTTTTGCACATACTAATCCACTCAATCAATGCTTTTTCATTCATTCATTAACATATCAGAAATCTTTAGAAAGATTCATTTGCTTGGCCCCAAGGCCACGCTCCTCATTTTCTTACTCACCTTCTCTGGAGGGTTAGCATTACTCAGGTTAGTGGAACTTTGGCCGGGCCATTGTCTTGATCCCCTGGCGACCACCAACCACAGAGATCCCGTGCATTGCTGGAGCAAAGCAATAGCCTGTTGATGGGTCATGTTCCTGTCCAGGAGGGTGTGATTGATGGCCAGGATCTGGTCATTTTCCTTTAATCGTTGATCCCTTGAAAGAGGAAAAGATTTTTCTTTCTGTTAAGTGGCGCTCCTTAACTTCCCAGAGAAAAATGCACAAAACCCTAACGCCTGCAGCCTCCACATTCAGCAGGTTGCTACAGAATTCTTTTGTTTATTACACTGTTTCCATTAAAGACTACAACTTAGCACTTCAGAATGTTTTTTCATCAGAGCACACATTAACTAATTAACACGAGTTACACTGTGTGCATCCTGCAAAATGTTGGGTTGTTGGGGGGTTTTTAAAAAGACATTTGGTTTTAAAGGTAAACAAAAACAATTCCAGCCCTTCTATTAGAAGGTGTTCTCCACACCCACCCAATCTGTTTCCTCACCACTGCCTCCAAAAAACCACCCCCAACCTGCTAGGATGTGGCTTCCATGTTAGGCTGAAACTACTCAATACAGCCAAAGGCATCTTCATGGCTAGATTCAGTTGACCTTTATTGGTCCCCCCATTCCTTGACCTCTTCAGTCTCTGACACTGGTGACTACCTTCTTCTTAGAATGCTCTTCTGGAATGAATTCCTGGACACTGCACTGTTAACCTCCTGCCTCTCTGACTCACCATCCTCAGTCTTATTTTCTGTCCTCATCCCTTTTTCCTTTTTTGAATTCTAAACCTTGGAAAGCCCACCCACTCTGGGATAACCACTTAACAGGAGCCCGATCACCATGGGCAGCTAAGTGGCACAGTGCATAGAGTGCTGGGCCTGAAGTCAGGAAAGCTCCTCTTCCTGAGTTCAAATCTGGCCTGAGATACTTTCTAGCTGTGTGACGCTGGGCAAGTCACTTAACCCTGTTTGCCTCAGTTTCCTCATCTGTCAAATGAGCTAGACAAGGAAATGAGAAACTACTCTAGTGTCTTTGCCAAGGAAACCCCAAATGGGGTCATGAAAAGTCAGACATGACTGAAGAATTACAACCTGATAAGTGGTCATCTGGCTTCTGCCTGAAGACCTTAAGTGAGATAGAATCCACTGGGACCCCCAAAGCTCAAATTGTCAGGAAGCTTTTCCCTCCCTACATGAAGTTCAAGGGACTTGAAGAGAGGTAATGGGAAAAATGAGGGATCAACAAAGTAGTGTTTTAGAACCTTATTGTGAGGGAAACAAAGCAAGCAGAGTGGACGTGAATGACCCTCACCTGTCTGCTATGCTTCCCGGCTGGACTTCCTTCACAAAGAGATCAACACCTCCAGCGTTTTGCTTTCTCACGGTGACCACGCTGAATCCCAGGCCTCCGGTGGACGGCTTTGCTATATCTATATATTCGATCTGTCTGCCCTGATGGGGAGACAGAAGAGAAGTAAAGTCCACAACTTAACACTGAGCCGGCTCTGAAGCTGCTGAGGCACAGATGGAGCTGCTTTGGCCGGTTCTGACACTAAACCAACCCCACATTTTGCTTTCTGGAAAACTCTCACTTGATGACTGTCAGTAAAGATTGAATCCAGGGCATGGCAGTCTCGAGGAAGTTCTGCAACCTCAGGGAACTGGGGAGGCATTCTGACACTTCATTCCCACGATGAGCTGAACCCCAAGGGGAAGAGCAATTCTCAGAAGACATTTCCTGTTGTGTGTTTTCTGCATTTCTGCAAACATCTTCAAAATGTTATGGATTTTTTTCCCCATTGGTTTCTTACTAAAAATTCTCCTTGGTTACATTTTCAGAGAGTTCACAGTGTCTAATGCTCTAAATTCTCAGGGTACTACTAGCTTTTAGCTCAAGTCAAAACAAGGAGCATCTTGGGGAGAGGGAGTTCTGTTTTTAACCCTATGACAAACTCATATTGCTCCCAACTTGAAAGACTGGGAGAAAACATCACCCTCCACATGGGTTTTATCTTAAACCACAAGGCTCCGATCCTTATTGCCAAGGATTTTATTCACTCCATTAATAGCACACTAATTGAAAGGGCAGCATTTCTAATGCCGGAGACTAACAAAAGCAAAGCACAAAAATTAACTGTTGAATAATGAAACAAATGGAATAAAGTGGTAATGCTAGGTAAAGGATTCTGGTTTAGGTGGTGCTTTTAAAATTAATGAATCTGCCATCTGATTTGGCCTTCTATTTTCAGATCGGACTCCATTTGTAAACTGAAGCTCACAGGCAAAAGAAGGTTTCATCAATGACTTCAAGTGAGGAACAAATCTAGTCCCAAATGTCAAAGATCAGTTACAGACTGTACTTAAGTAAGAAGAGGAATCAGACAAAGATGGTATCGGAACATTCCCCCAGTCCTTGAACGTAGTTTTTAAGAGCCTATCAACTCCATTCCTCTCGATCCTGTTTTATTCAGCAGGATTTGAAGAGGAAGGGCAGGAGGGAAGGAGTACTCATCACTTCTCAGAGAGAGATTACAGGCAGCCTTCCCCCTCCCAGGAATCAGCCCCATTCTTTCCTCCTGGCTGCCCAGGGGCACTATGTAGCCAATAGGAGAAAAGGCTCTCCCACCATTTATGTAAAGGCAAGGTTAGGCCAACCCTAGCCTCCAATGCAGTTTGGAGAAAGGGTTTCCTTACTATATCCCCCTGATGTCCACAACTGCTACCAAAGCAAAGACATGAAAAACTATGAGAATACATGTTAAAATAAAGCAGTCAATCAATCGATAAACATTTATTAAATTCTTTTTAATTTTGCTTGAAAGACTTGCTCTCTGGGAGAGGCAAAGGAGAAAGATAAAAGGAGAAATGTAGGGGGTAGACAAGTATTAACTTAGTACCTGCTATACAGTAGGGTGGGCAGCCAGGTGGCACCATAGCGCACAGAGCGCCAGGCCTGGAGTCAGGAAGCCTCATCTTCCCGAGTTCAAATCCGGCCTCAGACACTTCCTAGCTGTGTGAACCTAGGCAAGTCACATCACCCTATTTGCCTCAGTTTCCTCAACTGTAAAAAGCGCTAGAGAAGGAAATAGCAAACCGCTCCAGTATCACTGCCAAGAAAACTCCAAATGTGGGCATGAAGAGTTGGACGCACTGAACAATAATGGCACATGCAGTGCTAGGCACTAGGTGGATGGAGGGGTGGGTGAAGCTGTGATTAAATCAGTACAGGATGCTCCCCATGAAGAATTTCTTCTACTCAAGCCTGCTTGCAATGAGTTTGTTATTGTTGTTGTTTAGGCATTTTCAGTAGTCTCTCACTCTTCATCACCCAATTTGGGGTTTTCTTGGCAAAGACAATGGGGCGGTTTGCCATTTCCTTCTCCAGCTCATTTTACAGATGTGGAAACTGAGGCAGTTAAGTGACTTGCCCAGGGTCATACATCTAGTAAGTGTCTGAGGATGGATTTGAACTTCCTGAATCCAGGTCTCAGTATGCTATCCTCTGCACCACTAGCTGTCCCCTTCAAATGTAAAATGGGAATGTTTTAAATCTATCTGTCTGTTTATTCATTCATTTGTTAGTAGGGCCTACCTCCCAGGGCTTTTGTAAGCATCAAATGAGATAATATTTGTTAAAAAGAAAAAGGCACTTAGCACAATGCCTAGCATACAGAAGTGCTCCATAAATGCTTATTTATTCCCTTATGCCACACCAAATGGGGCCATAAAAACTCAAAAATCCAAATCTCTTCCTTCAAGAAGCTTACATTCTGTCAGAAGAAAACATTTTTGCACATAAACATTAAACTAATACAAAGTAATTTTGCACAGGGAGACACTGGCAGCTGGGCTATTGAGAAACACTTTGTGGTGTTGAACTCATTATGGAATATAGCTAGGGATTCTAAGAAGAGGAGGTAGGAGAAGCTAGTGTTTTTCAGGCATAGGGTACCCAGTGCAATGTCAGGGAGACGGGAAATGGGGGATTGGGGGATGGAGGCATGGAATCTACATGTAACAAGATGGGATTGACCTACCTGTGCCATCTGTTGGATGACAGAGTTAAATTCCTCATTTCCTGATCTTGGGGTCCAAGGAAACACTGCAGCTGAGTTATTAAAGGCTGTGTGGGCATTCCCATTAGCAATTGAGCTGTCAGTAAACACAAGCAATCCTTTCCTTGAAAAATCAAAGTTGGCCAGGCAATCTGAAGGAATGTGGCTAAGCTGAGGGGGAGAGAGAGAAAACAATCACATAATTTCATAACCTACCAAAAAGTTCATGCATTGACTGTTTTTTCTGTTGCTATTATATTTGGTTTTTTTATTTTATTCTGAACTTAAGAAATAAACTAAGCATTTCCATAACATAGTCAAATACAGAAAAAAGATGATTGTACATGAAACTGCAAATCTAGAATGTACAACTTGCTACTCCTTTTAAATACATAATAAAGTTATCACGCGATTTTTTGTTTTTTTCCCTTTTTTCCCTCCCCTGCTCCCATTGACTTATGACAGATTAGATGTTGCACGTTGCACAGAAGCTAACAGCCTCGGTGATGCAGATGGTGTAAATACACAGCCTGGTCTGTTTGTTTTCTCTTTGGATACCAGAGATCATAAATTTAGAAAAGCTGCCTGGTCCGATCGCCTCCTTTTACAGAGAAAACCACTGCCCCAGAAGGCTGGGCGGCTTCCCCAATGTCACGCAGGTGGCCATCATGAGGATACTTTAATAAACAATCCATTAGGATAAAGACAGATGCCGGCACCAGGCACCGTCTATTAACCAGCAACATTTCATGTCAATCAAAGGCAAGTCTGGTCTATGATCTCCATCAATGGAGGCAGATCCCCCAAGGATGAGAACACACAAACATTCGCACATTTGGGTATGCACAGGAGAGGCAGCACAATAGAGAGCCAAGCTCAAGAGTCAGGAATATTCTAGATTTGAATATGCTGTGGATACTAAGAGCAGCAGCAACAACTGATCTTTACATAGTGCTTGAGAGGCAGTGTGGTCCAGTAGATAGAGATCTGGCCACAAAGACGCGTGTTCAAGTTTCTTTGCCCCTTATTCGCTGTGTGGCCCTTCACTCCTCTGGTCTCTAAGCAATTCTCTGACTCTTAAGCTGCAGAGCAATGCAGATATGCACTGGCAGCCCTAGGACCCCATCCAAAAGTCAAAGAACAAGAAAACAGCTATTTCAGATGCCAGCCCCACTACAAATGGCATTCTTCTTGACTCACTTATCCAGCAACAGGTACTATGAGATTCAAGAGGACAAAGTAATTGGGAGGCCGATTTGGGGACAACTCAGACAACTTTCTAACAACTGTCTCTGTCGGGGCTGAAACACTGGCCCAGGGGCCCCCGACACAACAGCAGCTCTTCAAGCAGAAACAGGAAGACCATTCACTGAGAAAGCTATGACGAGGCTCATGACTCGTCCTTCCAACTCTGTGATCCCAGCCCATCACGTCACCAAATTACAACATCTTAAAATCAATCCATACATCTCCCTGTAAAACCAACTCAACAGGGAGGCCCATGGGTTGGAACCTACCTGTCCTTTCAGCTGTCTGATGGATTGCTGAATCGTGAGTATCTGGTTGAAGAGGGGGCTCTTCAGTGTCTCATAAAACAAGGCAAGTCTCTCATTCTGGGAGGTGTCACCCCTTTCGTGCAATTTCATTTGCAGACGGTCAAGGACCTGCAGGATCTGCAGCTTAGCTGTGGGAGAAAATGGTGGATAAAAGGGCCAATTAAATGTCAATGGTCTTCCATCCCTTCCCTGATGACTCAGCACTCGGTGAGTGAGCTACAAATTGTATACATACTTGCTGCAGGATTTTCAGGCATCTTGAACTGTTCTCTTCAAACAACCAGAGAAATCTATGGATTTGGACAAAAAAAATCATTTAATATATAATTATCCATATATGTATCTATTCAAAGACAAATGGATATGGATGGAGATAGAGACAGAGACAGAGAGATAGAGACAGAGACATAGATAAGTGATGGAGATAGAGACAGATAAGAGAAAGAAAGAGAAAGAGGAGAGAGAGAGATTGCCTCCATCACTCACTGTAGGTATAGTACAGTCTTGGGAATGGTGTGGAGAGGATCTGAAAGCTGAAGTAGTCCATCATTCTTATAACTTACCTACAGCTTTCTCCTTAGCTCTAGGCCCCCAACACCAACTACCTGTGGTCCTTCTCCACCAGGATGCCCCACAGGCATCTCAAATGCAACCAAGTCAAAACAAAAATATCCATTCCCTCCAAACCTCTTCTGAAATCCCCTATGTTTGTCCAGGGTACCACAATCCTGTCACTAATGCTGACCATCTGGGTGACCCTGGGCAAGTCACTTATCCTCTAGCCTCTCTCAACCTCAGTTCCCTCATCTATAAAGTGAAAGTGAGGGTTGGGCTTAGATTCTTATCATTTAGCCACTGCTGAGATTCCTAAAATCTAGCCACAGCTTAGATTCTTGGGGGCAGCTACGGGGGCGCAGTGGATAGAGCACCAGCCCTGAAGTCAGGAGGACCTGACTGAGTTTAAATCTGGCCTCAGACCAAACACTTGACACTCACTAGCTGTGTGACCCTGGGCAAGTCACTTAACCCCAATTGCCTAAAAAAAAAGAAAGCAAGGGTTGGACCATATGGCTATTGATCAATAATTCTATCAGCCTTTCCATAATCAAACTCCTCCTTCTGCATGAACCCCCCTCCATACACCCAATCCCTTCCCCTCACAAGGCCCTAGTTCAGGCCCTCCTCACCCCATACCTGGCCAATCAACGGGCTTCCAGAGCCCAGTCTCTGCCCTGTCTAATCTATTTTCTAAAAAGCTACCAAACTGATATCCCTAATTTCAAAAAAAGAGACTCACATTCCACTAACTCAGTCATCTTCAGTGGCTCCTTATCGTCCCCCAGATAAACCAGCTCAGACTGTCCACAACCTGACTCCAACCTACCTTCCTAGCCTGACTTCATGACTCCCTTTCATATGATTTCCATTCATACACTAGCATTCTCATTTGTTTCCTAGGACCGTCCTTCATCCACAGCCATAGTCTAGCCACAGGACTGCAAGCTATTCCCAGAGCTCAGTATCTCCAACCTCTGCACATTTGCCTCTCCCAAGGCACTCCCCTCATCTCTACCTCTCAACAGTTTGTCTCTTGCTTCAAGAGTGAGGTCATTAATCCCACTGTCCATGATGCCTTCTCTACTCTCTGCTTCCCGGTCTCCTCTAATCACTCAGCTTTCACTTTCCCGTGTCCTTGTTTATCCCCAAAGAACATCAACTCCTTGAAGACACCGACCTCAAAATGCTGGTGTCTAGATCCCCACCACCTTGCCAGAGGCTTCGTACATAAGAAAAAAAGTACTTTTCTTTGTGTAGGGCAGGTTTAAGTGGGGGAAAGGGAATCCTTTGTGACCAAACTAAGCCCTCAGCCTAGTTATTTTTACTTCTTGTGTTCTCAAAAAAACCAACAAAAACAAAAAACAACCCCGACTTAACAATAATAGTAATGATTTCTATGGCACCGGAAACTGTGCTGAGCCCTCTTTTATCTCTTTTATTATTTTGTTTGATGCTCACAACAACCCTGGGAGGAGATAATATAATTGTCTCTATTTTACAGATGAGAAAACTGAGGCAAACAAATGAGAAGTGACCCTCTCAGCTAGCCAGTGTCAGGTTGGATCTGAACCCATACCCACTGTACCACCCAGATAGTCTTGGTGACTGCCAAAAGCAGGAACATGACACCATGTATGTCTTTTATTTGTCTTTACAGCCCCACCGACTAAAGCTTTGGCTGACATCATGATCTTTAGAGTTAAGGTCAATGAATAAACAATTAAAAACCAGCTGGGGCCCTGTCTAACCCGATAAAAAGACCCAAGAATTTTCATTAACTTCAATGGGATCTCTACCTAAAGCACTCTTTTTTTTTTAAGGCAATTGGGGTTAAGTGACTTGCCTAGGGTCACACAGCTAGTAAGTGTCAAGTGTTTGGTCTGAGGCTGGATTTGAACTCAGGTCCTCCTGATTTCAGGGCCACTGCTCTATCCATTGTGCCACCTAGCCGCCCCTACCTAAAGCACTCTTGAGGAGACATTTATGAAGTTTGGGCTCCACCACCATATGATACTAGCTTTAGAGCTAGAAGGACCTTTGGGGTTACCTATTCCTCACCACCTAATTTTTAATAAATAAACTGAGGCCCAGAGAGGTTATGGAACAAGTCTGAAAGTGACAGTCAGGATTTAGTCAGGCCCTTTGACTGCAAACGTCAAATGTTTTCTCCAGCTTCAGGTAGGCTCCCCGAAGCTGAGTGCTGGGACCGAGGGAGAAACTGAGATGTGCTCTCAACAGTACCACTCCTTGGCAGCCCACAGCACAGAAGAGCCACTGCCCACGTCAGCCCTTCTAAGCTAACAGGTGGGGCTGTCTCTGCAAGGTGAGCAGGGCACATTCCTCTCGAGCCAGACTGCTGGGCCATCTCTATGGAAAGGTACACAATGATTCTGCTTCATGGGTCAACAAACTAGAACATGCCTGGAGCGCTCAAGATAATTCTGATCTCGAAGCCAAGAGTGACTCTAGCATATCGGGAAATGGGTAGAATGTGCCTCCTTTTAGATGACTATCCTTTTCCACCTTCCTAACCAGTCTCTTGGGTAGTTTGGTGGCTCAGTGGATAGAGCGCTGGGACTGGAATCAGGAAGACTCCTCTTCCTGAGTTCAAATTTGGCCTCGGACACTTCGCCTGCTAGCTGTGTGACCCTGGGCAAGTCACTTAACTCTATCTGCCTCAGTTTCCTCATCTGTAAAATAAGCAGAAGGAAATGGCAAACCATACCAGTATCTCTGCCAAGAAAACCCCAGACAAAGTCCCAAGGAGTTGGACGTGACTGAAAATGACTGAACAAGAGCAACAAAAGCATCCTGTCACCTTCACGTCCACCCTCGGGTCTAGTCTATGCCCCATCCTGCTCTCAGCTGGCTGTCAGTTAACCACAACTAAAGGTAAGCAGTAAGACGGACAGCTGAAAACCCAAAAGACCCCAGTGCAAAGGCTGCTTCAGACACTTACAAGCTCCGTGACTCTGGGCGAGTCACTTCACAAATAACAGCACCAGTAACTTTTTGTTGTTGAGTCATTTCAGTTGGGTCCGACTCTTCACAGCCCCATTGGGGGTTTTCTTAGCAAAGATACTGCAGTGGTTTGCCATTTCCGTCTCCAGTGCATTTTACAGATGAGGAAACTGAGGCAGACAGGGTTAAGTGACTTGCCCAGGGTCACATGGTTAGACAGTGTCTCTAGCCACATTTGAGCTCAGAGAGGAGTCTTTCTGACTCTGGGCCGGAGGCTCTACCTACTGCGCCCCGTAGCTATTCTTTATGGCTAATGAAATATCATTTAATGTTCAGACAACCTTGTAAAATAGGTGCCATTATTAAACCCGTTTTTCACATGAGAAAACTAAAGCTTGAAGAGTTTAAGTGACTTGCTCAGGGTTACACAGCTGTGTCTGAAAAATCCTTCACTCAACCTCAGTTTCCTCACCTGTAAAATGAGGATAATAATAGCAACCACCTCACAGAGTCAGTGTGAAGCTCAAACAAGATAACACATATATAAAGAACGTTGCAAAGCTCCAAGTATTAGATAAATGTTAACTCTTATTACCAGGCTAGCATTTGTATTTAAAATTGATTCATAGGATTCTAGAATTAAACAAGACCCATAAGATAATTAGTCCACCTTTGAGTCCCTCGACAATATGGAATCATTTGGTCTTTTCTTGAATGCCTCCAGGAACCAGGAATTCTCTACTTTGGGAAGAAGTCTGTTCCACTTATCTAGTCATTGTAACCCCAGACCTTAGCACAGTGCTTGGCATACAGTAAGCACTTAATAAATGCTTGTGGGTTAAACATTTAGTAAGCACCTACTGTGTTTACAATGCCATGCAAGACCCTGGAAATTCAAAGACGAAAAATGACAGGCTCTGCCTTGAAGAAGTTCACTCTAAGAAGGGGATGTGAGTAGTAATGGACAAAGCTCTGGATGTGGGAGCCAGAACAACCTGAGTTCAGACACCACCTGGCCAAGTCTCTTCCCCTCGCTGTGCCTCAGTTTCCCCATCTGTAAAATGAAAGGTTTGAACTCAACAGCCTTTCCAGCTCTACATCAATGATTCTACAATCCTGAGAAGTAAGCATGATATATGGCAGAATGTGATTAGAAGTCAGTCTCGGCCCATTTTTAGGATGGAGGGAACACTTTTGGAGGTGTCATCTCTGTATAATACGGGGGCTGGACCTTTCACCTCTAAATCTGTGGTCCTGATACCTTGAATAAGATTGTGTATAGGAAAGGTTTTGTGACTCTTCCAGGTTAGCCACGGGAGGTTCAGGAAGGCTTCATCAAGGAGGGGGACTCTGAAGTGGACCCATATGGCTCCGGAGGAGAAAGTAAAGCTGGCGACTTTGCCCAGGTCTCCCTTGCTTAAATCCAACTCACTTGTATGTCACAGCATCACCTCCCTCATGTCATGGTCCTCCTTGGGGACACACAACAAGAATCCACCTGAAGGAAGAGAAGATCTGGATGGGTAGAGATGAGGAAACATTCCAGGCATGGAGAAAGGTATAAAAAATCCAATGACAGGACCCAGCACGAAGGCCAGCAGCCCAGCCGGCACCTCATGAGCAGCAGGGAGGAAAGGCGGGGCTCAATCAGGAGAGTGGAGGCTCACACTGGACAGAAGGCGGCCTCTGCTGCTCTGCCCTCGGAGATCCTCTCCAGCTTGGCCTGTTTACATCTTACTTGGATGAAGCTGCTTGTAGGCTGTCCCCCCTA